AAATTAAAAGTTAATTAAAGTAATAATGGAAATAAAATAAAATAAGTGCAGTAATTTTAGCTGTGACGGTCCCACCTGATGACGGAGACTTGTGTTGCCTCCGAAACGTCGTGATTTATTATTTTATTTCCATTATTACTTTCATTAACTTTAAATTGTATTTTTCACCTACGTGACTTTACCGAAAAAACCTAAGAGTACGTTTCTATAAACCCAAAACAGGTATCGTCTTGTGTTGCAGCTGCAATCGTATCATCGCGTGCAGCTGCAATTACCGCGCTGGCAAAACGTTGGCAATGGCTTTACTCTGCATCACTGCGTCGCGTGGGCTCACCAAACACACCGACACGTTCCACTTACGCCGTTACATTTGCAATCGACGTGGCGCACAGCGTCACTGCGAACCCACCAAGTCACGCGACTCGAGTGGTATCGATGAGCAATGCAAAGCTGGAAGGACGCGCAACTCGTGGCTGCGACGAAACGCAACCAGCCGTTGCCTCTGCGAGGGCGACCCAATAAAATAACACGCGTGTCAGATTGTCAGCAGGGTCTATCCCGTGAATATTCAAGTTCGATCAGACCGCTGTGGACCGAGAGTCTCATTCGGGCCCACTTAGGGAACACGTGTTGCGCCTCTTCTGCAAGGGCGGCCTTGGTTATAACCAAACAAGTCCATTAAATCGAGCAAACACAATTTTGATAATAACCCCGTGGTTATGCGATTGTCACCCGACCGAGATTCAATGCCGCTGCCGTGTGGTTTAATTACAGCCCAGAGATGCGGCCTTTGCAACCCGAATGACGCGACAGGTGCCAACGTGGCTACGTGATGGTTTACTTCTTTTCTTGACACAAAGCAACTCCTGATTTAAGGCATTTCAAAAGCTCATTTGTACACACCGAGGCCCGCCAGATTGATCGCAATTGTAAAATATAAAGTAAAACTAGTCCAAATAAAGATATAATCGATATAAATCTTTTGCACGCAAACATTACGCAAATACCACATATGCATCACACTATATTTTTCTTCACATTAAAAGTTACATGGTCTGTCTGTTGCATGAAATATCTTGTGGGTTTTTTTGTTGCTCATGTAACTTATACTGCTTTGAATCCAAAGAGAAATTGATTTTATGCGACCGACAATTGGTATTTAATGCAATTGTACGAGGAACAAGCCTCCCTTTAGAGATGGCACTTTGCAAGACAAACCCATGGAAGTTTGTCTGCATATTCATCCCTCGGTGACATGCACACTCCACCGTGAAGTTACAATCCAGTACACTTGTCTCTCTCCTTAAGTTCCCCAAACGAACTTTAAATTCAGCCAACGAGTGCGCTGGCCACACGATAATTACGTTACAACTGCAGACAGATGTTGAGTGGCACCTTTATTCGCTTTCAAATAGAAAAACTTAAAAGATTGCAGCGTGGTCCAGATTTCTTGTGATCCCTATTAAATTATCTTAAACTTTTTTTACTAGTATAGTTTATTTAAAACCGAAATGAATTTGCAAAGGAAAAACAATGTTAGGGGTCAATTAATTAAAAAGATTTAAAAAATTTTTTTTAAAGATATTTGACGAGGTAAGGCCCAATGAGCTATACAACTATTTTCAGAAGCAACCTGACCACAACTGATAGCTTATTATGTGGAAATTGATAGCAACCAAATACTCCAAAACGTATGCTTCTAAATGTGGAGAAAAAAACCGGAGGTCCTCGAGAAAAATCCAAACTCCAAATATACAGCAGGCGTCGGGTCGGGGTTGAACCCAAGACCTCCTGTATACCAGGCGAGGTAGTTAACAGCTCGCAACCATAGCGCCCACTAATTGGAGGGGGGTCACAAGACATGTGGATCAGCCTATAGAAAATTGAGAGATGGGCGGGCTGGGTGGCTCAGAGGTCAGAGCAGAGAGCCAGCACCACCGAGATCTGGGTTGGAATCGCGGGCGGCCATCCGTGATCAAACCGGGTTTTCACTTCAATCGTTAAAATCCAGCTGTGAGAATTAAAGACATCGGTTCTACTCGCCTGCTATGAGAGCGTGACCCCACATCGGCTAGCGGATAGGTCACTTTCAAGGTTTCCCTGGAGAAGTCCAGTGGAAAATGAATTCTGCACCCGTTCGCTAGACACACAAGGCCACATTGCTTTGTGAGATTTCTGAACGGATTCTTCATCTCGTGATGACGCCAACGGTACAACAGGAATAATCACCCCTCTGCCTCCCCTACCGCGAGAGAAAACTGAAGTCAGAGGAAACCAAGCAGACTTTCTACACAGATGATCCATTAGTAAAGAGAGGGATAAGAGAGAACAGTGGCTGTTATGCGAAACGTTTAGGAGACACAAATAGGCATATTTTCAAAACAACGCAAAGTATTAACTACATATATCGACGTGCAGTTTTTCATATCCCATCGTTTTGACGTATCGCAAAGATATTAAATATGCAGACTATGTACTTATTCAGTTTGGTGCGAGATAGTGCGAGGGGTGGGAATGAACATGGCATAACTGGCACAAGAGGAAAGATGCAGCATAGTACGCAGCTATAGAAGTAGTGAAACATTTCAATACGAGGAAATGTAATTATAGTGTTCTATAAACTGATTTACCATCATTTGATAATCACAATATCTTTACGTAAAATCTCAGTCATTGCATCCCAAGCATGTGGATATAAAGTAGTCAAGATAACAAAAAATAAGTGTTCAATTTAAGTGTTAATTTGACTAAAAATTCATTCAGCATTATTGTGTTTGTTAATAACAAGATAAATAACGCCTCCTTTCCATGCCTCTCCACATAAACAAGTATTTTGCATGACCCATCGGCTGCATGGCCTTCTGGGAGTGCAACTTATCGGCGGCAGTGGTGGAACCACAAGCAAAACGCTGGAACGTTGCAAGATTCAGTGCATCATCGGCAGTCAGGCTTGAACTGGCCGATCATTGAAATGGGTCCCAGATCGTTGGAAAACTATTTAATAAACACAACACAGAATAGTAATCGAGAGCGCCAAGGTGGAGAGTATTAATCACAAAATGAATGCCTCCTCCCCATACTTTTCTCTCTACAAAGTTTAAATTTTGAACACAGAAGGCTGTGTGGTCGATGGTTTGTGGGAAAAAAAAACTTTTAATACTGTGCGTGCAGATGCATATACGGGGGAAGGCGGCGTTATTTATTATTCACGTAAGTGCTCTAAAACTCACAAGCCCTGGACACTTGCAGTTGCTTGTAAATTGTTTCAACACAACACCACTAAGTGGCCCTGAACTTCGAGTAACAAATCAAGCGCTCACACTCCATCCACATTGTTGCTTGCTGCAAAGTACGATTACATTCGCTGCTGAGGATTGGTTGTACGGCTCTCAGAAACTGTGCTGAGTAAAGCTTCGTACTATCAGTTTGTTAGCTTTGATCGACCAATAAGTGCGTGACCGTGTCCATATATACACAGCATATGCATGAAATGCGCAAAAATACAATTTACACAGTGCTGTGTATATATTGCACACCCGTATAACGCATATATACTATACCTGCATAAAAATACAGACATGCCCGTAGAGACGAGCATTGTATAAAAGGTGGACAAAGGATTTGAGAACAGCCAGAGTGCACACACACACTTGTTAGAACATCATAGACCTTCTCGTTTCCATTGTCAACCCCAAAACGTCAATGCGCTCACTCTACTGGATGTTTAACTTCTTTCGCACCGCACGTAGCCAACCGTAACAAATTGGAGGTGCGGCGGCGGGGGGGGGGAACAAAGGCAGTTGAGAAGCTTTCAGAGCTCCGCGTGTTCGCCAACGGCTGATCGGAGTAACGAGCAGATCTCCAACTATCTGTGGTTGGAAGCAGCGATTACGAGTGCAGCGCCGTGCAACTTGGGCTCACTATGAACAGGTGGCCACCACAGGGCACCCAGGTGGCGGAGATGTTAACTACCTCGCCGGGTATGCAGGAGGTCGTGAATTCGACCCCCGACCCTGACCCGCGTACATTTGGAGTTGGCGTGTTCTCCTCGTGGTCACGTGGATTTTTCTCTCCCGGGTTCTTCGGTTTTTCCATCCGCATTTAGAATCGACACGCGTTTAAGAATATTTGGCTGCTATAAATTTCCACGTGATAAGCCGCTGAGATATCAATTGTGGCCAGGTCGCTTCTGAAAGAGCTAGAAAACTCAGCGGGTCTTACCTGGTAAATATAGTTAATAATTAAGTGTATTTAGCAAAGGTTGGGGAACCTTTTCCCGATCGAGTTCCTAGTAGGAATTTCAAATACCTCTGGCAGGCGGCCACATTAACACACACATTCACTGCAAGAGGTCATCACAGTGGCAAAAGGTACTTAATTCCCTAAGATTAGAAACAGTTTTGATAGTTTTGAGAGTATTTCCCTCTAGTACCCAATTGGTGTGGCTCAGATACTTGCAGCGATGATTAAATATCGTTTAAGGGCCATTTTCAAGTGATAGGCCTCATGTGGACTCATTTGGCATTGGGCAGCAAGATACCAAGTGTCTGGACATATGAAATGTCAGAGGCCATCATACTTACGTATGTTGAATTTCTTTTACACCGTGCATAGCCAATTGTGCTCATCAGAGGTATGTTCCCCAACCATGCAGTATTGGGACCTCCGATTAGCACGGTTGGCTACATACGGTTGACTACTTAAGTTCAACATACATACATTGGCAACAGCACTCCCAGCACATCACGTGTGCAACTGCACTCGTGGATGGAAGCGAAGGGTGGTGGTGTAGCAGCAGCTTCCACGGCGCGGCGAGAGGGAGGAGAGGGATGGAGGAGGAGGCCTCGTCATTGCGTGCAGGTCCAGCCGAAGGCGGCGGTGCCAGCGGTAAGAATCAGAATATTTATTTATACTTGGAGGAATCCGATGAGCTATAAAACTATTTTTTCACGGATGTCCAGCAGTAGGGGCCGGGCGTCGATAAGTGGGGGAGGGGGGGGTGGAGGGTGGGGGGGAGGGGGGGGGCAGCCATGTCTGACGCCACCCGTTGTCGCCGCTGTCGTCGTCCTCGTCAGCGCTCGTCGTTGAGTCTCCGCGCCGTCGACAGAATCTCCTGGGCGCCGCGCGACAGCAGCTCCTCGGCCAGGCGGAGGCCCAGGCCCTCGGCCGCCACCATGTCACCCGGCGCCACGCTGCCGTGAGCCGCCACGCCCACGTGCTGCGCAGGGGTGGCGGTGCTGCCCTGCCCGGGCTGCGCAAAGGGAGACGCGCGGCGGCACCGTGAAGCTCTGTCCACCGCAAGAACTGTGCAAGGCGTGTCAATAACTCTGCCCGAAAAAAAATCCGCAAGAGGTGACGTTACCGCCAATAGAGAAGGGTCATTGCCCAAGATATCACCCATTGTATAGATTTTCTTCAAGGGCAGTGTTGTTGAAAATTGAAATTTTTGTTGTTGGTTATTGTGCTTGTGCGCCACTGCCAATGCGGTATCATGAAACTTTTTTTTTTACTTCCCTGTAATAGCAAGTGCTGTTTTACATGTACAGCCCTGTCTGTCAAACCACACTGTGCGTTTCGTGGGGGTTATCGGACTACCCTTCACCGCACCAGTCGGTGCTGGTTGGTGAAGGTGGAGTGCATAGACAATGGATTTTGCTGCTCTGCCCCCTTCTGACAACGTAGCCCCACAACGCCCGCTTCATGCAATGGTGGCCACTCATCCAAGCACCCACCATGTATGCAGCAGGCTCCACGCCTGCTTAGCTTCCGATATCTGACGAGTTCCGGCATAATCCGAGAGATTGCTTTATAGGCTATCAGGTGGTGTAGGCCGCATGCGCGCAGGGCTACGCCGTCACGTTTACCTCTTGCGTGGCATTCAAGGACACTTTCTGGGTGTCTTTCAGACAGTCCGCTCCATCCAGACTATACACAGCACCCGTCAAGGTCAGCTGCGGCAAATGGGAAACACACGGAACGTTAGGAACACATAACAGAAACACAAAGCTCATAGGTACGGTTTATCGATGAAGTTCATACGTATATGGTAAAGATACCCCATACATAGCCTTAACAGACTTTGAAGGCTGGCAGGGCACACGAGGGGGTGGGTGGCCAGCACCACACCCGGCCGCCTTTGTCTCCCAATTGGCGATGTTTACACATCGCACCAGGTACTCATTTGAGGCCGAGTCGAACTAAGAAAAGCCCAGGAACAGTTAAGATTGTCATCACTGGTGTTGGCCATGAGTAGGACTTGAAATCAGGTCACCAGGTTTGTAGCACAGCGTGTAAACTACTGTACTCCCGTTATATTTATATATATACACACACGCATTCGGATTAATCCGAAAAATCTGAATACATCAGGAATACACATTTTTAGATAATCAGAAAATTTGTATAATCTGAAAATGTGAATGATGATGGCGATGCGGTCACCACATACCTCTTTCCCCTCCATGCGGCTATGCACAGCGACAGGGACACTGCATCCACCCTCCTGAAAGTCACACAAGCAGCCAGCGTACAGCAGCACACACACACAACAGAGACACACACACAACAGTATATTCATACTCGGCTCCCGTGGGGACAACTGCGTCACATGGTAGATGAGTAATGATCCACCGTACACGTGCGATTTGGTGAGCCGTCACAATTCTATTTTTTTACATATTTTGTGAAACTAATTTTTTTCACAATATCTTTCATGTTGTTTTCCTCTTCTACAGTGTCCCATTTGTACTGTCTGCACTGTGCGTCTTATTTTGTTCCGTCTGTTTTGTCCGAATCGTCTGTTATGCACTTTTTCTGGAGCTATGCACTTTTAAATCGGGATTGAAAAAAATAATTTCCTGCTGCTTTTTGTGTTTAGTTTGTTGTCCTTCCCTTGGACCTGATGAGCACGGTTGGCTACGTACCGTGTGAATGAAGATCAACATACATGCATACATCTGTTAAATCCGTAATGTTTGTTTCATCTGCATTGTCAGTCTCGTTGGTATTGTCGATCTCGCCTATATGGACGGAATCTCACTTCAGACTGCAGGTGCTCTCTGTCTCGTTTGTACCATTTTCTCTCTACTGTCATACAGTATTTGTGACCTGGTCTACATCATCTCGGCTGTCTGTTTTGTTTGTATTGTCTCGTTCGTGCATCTGTCCCGTTGATTATGATCAATGGCACGAAAGAGAAACGTTCATGAATTCCGAATGACAAAAAATAACGATGCCTATACACGCACTGTACCTGCGTGTCACATGAGCAATAAAGGGGACGTCGGAAATGAGCAGTTCATGCGGCTGATAAATAACAGCAAACCCGGCAATTTAACCAAAGGCAGAGGACGGCATGGACAGTGATGAGCCTCAAGTTGCTTAGCCCCAGGGCTTCTCCCAGGCAGATGGGCTCCGATATTGGCACAGGACTTTAACCACTGCGAAATGTGAGCTGCTTAACCATCGCCGATTATAATCGTCGTCCCAAATTGCACGCTGTCAAACCGCAGGTGAAACACGCTTCACCATTAGCTGTGTTCTGCAAAGGAAATGACACGGAGCAAGGCGCAATTTAGTAGCACCAACACCACTTATGTGCACATGAAAACATTATCATTATTATTATTATTCAACTGCACTTTTGGTATATTATTACGTACTGTTACTTTGCTTATAGTAAAGCTCAAAATTCAACATCAACTCACAACATTGATATTTAGAAATCACCGGATTCTCAAGTGCAGAGAGTTGATGGTTCCGCACTTCATTTGAGAGGGAGAAAAAAATATATATAAATTTAAGCATCATGCGACAAACGTTGCTTTGATGTGGCAGGGCAGGTGGAAAAGTGCTGTCTCCTACTGCGTGGACCAGAGGTCACTCGAAAGAATCTCAGATGCAGCTCTCCGATATCCGCTTCCTTTCCCGAACCACGAAGGCCGTTCCCTTAACCACAAGGGGGTTGCGTGGCGCTGGGTGAGATTTGTGGTCTGGCGACACGATGCCGATAGCACGATCGGGGATAAAACTGCAGTTAAAAAAATAATCGAAAACTATTTTCAAAGAAGCGAACGAGAAAATATCGGTGGCTTTGGCTCGCGGCACGGCAAGGATGACGACGACGACGGCGGCGCGCACCAGCGTCCTGAGGAAGGCGCGCTCGGCAACGCAGCGCAGCACGGTGTCGCGGTGGTGCAGGAACGACAGCAGCTCCAGGACGTGCCGGTCCTCGGCACGAACCTCCACCGCCAGCGCTCCCTGCGCAGGCAACGCAGCGGAGATCAACGGCCGCTCCCGACTCTCGCCATCGTCGTAATCGTCATTATCATCGCCAGCGCTGCTGTATTAGCGCCGTTACATCGGTTGACCGCTTATTCGCCACACGCATAGTGGAGGCGAGGTTGCAGTAAAGACCTCGTATTTCATTGATGACTGAACATCCACCGCTGCATGAAGGCCTTCTTACACCGTGTCGGTGATGCGGGGTTGTTTGAACATAATTGACCACATTTTTCAGTGCGGGTAGGTGGATTACAAGATGAGGCCCGGGACCAGTTCATTATATTGCTTGCCAATGATGTTAACCGTTGCACCGCTTAAAGTTTACTACTCCCATTGAATTGTTACGCCCGTTACAATTCTACTGAAAAGATAATTACAACTCAATTAAGGACGTGTCGCTTGTAACTAAATTATAAATTGCAACTTGCTGGCATTAATCTAATGGCTGTGTGCCATCATTGCCCCACTTTCACATGCATCAACGAGGGCATTGAAACATCAATACTCATTTAATATTCATTCCACACCTCCCATGCAGTAACATCTCGAGGTGGCACAACAAAAGGGGTTATCCGAGTTCATTATTGGTCAGTAAAAAAAAAGCGGCAATTTATTGCCATCAATCCAGTCTGTGCGCACAACACGCGTGAAAGAGCCGCACTCACCTGTCCCACGGCATAGAGACACACACCCGGGTCGATTATCTGCAAGGAAACACCGACATACATCAGCAACCGCAACGAGACCGATTGACGCGTGCGCAATATGCATTGCCCATAAGAGGTTTTTTTGGGGTTATATTGCGTAAATGTCTTTAAACCCGCCAATTAGTAACGAGTTCAGCACACCGGTGTGTTGGAGAGCAAAACAATTTCTGGTAATCACAACCAGCCACATCAGGCGACAAGAGAGAAATGTGGAGAAAGCCCTCTAGCTTCAGTCTAAACGGTCTAAAATATAACGTTTTGCAACTCCGATTAGGAAGGTTGGTGTGCGAAAGAAGTTCCAACATACGTACATATATACGATGTGCATGTACACTTAAGATTGTTACCCACAACGCAGACGATTGGCTACATTTTACTTGGAACATTCACTTTTAAAACCTACTAAAAAATAATGTCACTTTACCAGGTAAGGCCCACTGAGCTATACAGCTCTTTTTCAGAAGCGACCTGGTCACAAATCATAGCTCAACGAAGTGGCTATTCACGTTGAAATATATAGCGGCAAAATACCCGAAACGCCCGATTCTAAACGTGGAGGGAGAAAACGGAGGATCCGGATAAAAACGTAGTGGAATTTTCCAGTGGCCAAATACTCTTAATAGACTGCGCGCAGTGCTGACCACACAGCCTTTCTCGGCCTTCATCGCCACTCTCCAACAGCACCTGCCCCCCCCACCCCCACAACGGCCTTGCACAAATTACACGGTCGGGGGGCGGGCGGGGGGGATATTTGTCCGTCCCACTCACCTGGCTGATGCGATCGTCCCAGCCCATGCGCGAGAGCCCTGCGGCCGCGAGCACGAGGGCGCTGTACTCCCCCAGCTCGTCCAGCTTTCGCAGGCGCGTGTTCAGGTTTCCGCGCTGCGTCGGCCGTCAAGGGGAAAGCCTCGGTCAACGGAATCGCAAAGCACGACGGGAAAATTTCGATTTAAAGCTTCTTTCGTGACTGCAGGGATTTCATCTTCTTGGTTCTTTCGGTAAAGTCACGTAGAAGAAAAATAATAAAATAATAAAAATAAAACATGATAAAATAATTCTCACGACATTTCGGCCACAACGCAAGCAGCCGTCCTCAGGTGAAGGAGGACGGCTGCTTGCGGCTGCTTGCGTTGTGGCCGAAACGTCGTGAGAATTATTTTATTATGTTTTATTTTTACTATTTTATTATTTTCCTTCTACATGACTTTACCGAAAGAACCAAGAACACGACGGGAAACTTGGCCGTGTCCGTTGTCGAGTCGGCGCGTCGGTGGCAGCGCTCGCTTGACTTAACTTTGTCGTATATATTTACACACAAAGCGCGTGCCACAAAATGAACCAAACAAGACCTCGCTGATCTCATCAAGGAGCATAAAGCATCACGCCAACGCCGGTCATCCTCGCAGCAGCGACTTTTGGCTAGCCATTGAACAAAGTCGGTCAGCACATCGCGTAATGATAAAAGTATTCACACTGCCAAGTGTGCGCGCGCGTGTCATTTCACGAGTGGGGAGCGGTCGTGTAGCGGTTAGCGCTACGAACCCGGCGACCCGAGTTAGATTCCCGCTCACGGCCAACACAAGTGACGATTACCTGAACCGGCCCTGGGCCTCCCTTAGGTTGACGCAGCCTCAAATGAGTATCTGGTGAGATGTGTAAACACCGCTGGGCGTGGTGCTGGCCACCCACCCCCGAGTGTGCCGTTACTGGCCTTCATAGGTGCTCGCTATCAACACTTGCCCTTTACAGTCTGTTAAGGCTTTATGGGAAGTGTCTTTTTGTTTTATTTTATTAACCTAGGTCTATCTGGTACGTAAATATAATTATTGAACAAATTATACTTTTACACGCTGTACATCAACGTTCAAACCATAATGGCATTCCAATAATTGCCGCACCAGCAATGCTCTTACCCCTGCCATTCCTTTCCGCTGCTGTCACTGCCTCAACTACTGCCGCCGCCGTAAGTGCGGCGGATGACAACGCTGACGCGGAAAGTCAAGGATACGACATCTTTGAAGGCCAGTTGAGGGAAATTCCTCTTCAGCTGGGCTGCACGACGCAGGGAGCTGGTGCCAATCACACTGCACACACACAACACACACACAACACAAGCGGCACACACACACAACACAAGCAGCACCAGTGTCAGTACAAGGGCACACACACACACACAAAACAAAGATCCCTTATAGCCTTCACAGATTGTTGGGGCAAGTGCTGTTAGCGAGCAGTTATGGCAGCACACGAGGGAGTGGGTGGCCAGCACCATGCCCCGCCGTCTTCTTCTCCCTAGTGACAATGTCGCATATCGACACCGGGTACTCTAATATTAGAGGCTTCGTCAACCTAGGGGAGGCCCAGGACCGTTGTTCAGATAATCGCTATCACTGGTGTAGAGGCTGTGAGAGGGAATCGAACTCGGGTCACCGGATTCGTAGGGCAGCCGCTACACTACCGCGCACACACACAAGTACACACACACACATATGGATACGAAGTGTGGAAACATCATCATCGTGGAGACAAAGGTGGCTCGAAGTGCTGCTATAATTGTGTATATGGAGAATCTTAGCCTTTGTGAAGAGGGTGTAAACATTGGCACTGGGGAGGAAGAGGCGGCCGGACGTGGCGTTGGCTCTCGTGCGCCATGCCGACCGTGAAAGTGACTCAATAACACGACTTGCCCAAACACCCTGTTAAGGCCATACGGGGAATCTGTGTGAGTGCGAGCGAGTACACGTGGCGGTGTTGTGTGTTGTGTTTAACAGGTGTGGGCGTGCACCTCTTCTTCTTGGTTCTTTCGGTAAAGTCACGTAGAAGGGAAATAATAAAATAATATAAAAGTTTTTTATATTTATATTATTTTATTATTTCCCTTCTAAAGATTTTTTTTGTTTATATTATTTTATTATTTCCCTTCTACGTGACTTTACCGAAAGAACCAAGAATATGAATCCCTAAATCAAAAGTGCACCTCTTGTCGGGGAGGCTTTCCAGCGTGTGTCCGGCGAGCTGTGGCGCCAGCACCAGGGCATCCTGGGGATTCTCACGCCTGCGCAGGGCAAGGAGCGAGCGGGGGGGGGGCGGGGGGGCGAGATGCGGGACAACGCAGGGGCATTGATAGGTGGGGGTGCAGTGTGATGCGCTTGTGGCAACGAGGGTTAGTCCAGCGGTCGGCAACCCACGGCTGCAGAGCTTCGTGACGTTATTCGCATGGCATTGCGGCTATTAAAATATATTTTTTACCGAATAAAAAAAAATGGCTCCGCTTCAAATGTTGGTTTGCCGACCCCTGGATTAGCGGATCACCCACATTGACGAAACACCCTCGATCACATCAACGTCGAGGTCGCCGTCTTCTGGCTTGCCAGGGTATTGCAGTACAACTAGAATATTAAACAAAACATTTTATTGGCATTTTATTTTACCAGGTAAGGCCCACTGAGCTATATAGCTCTTTTTCAGAAGTGACCGGGCCATCACAAATGATAGCTCAACGAAGTGGACTATCACGTGGACTATCACGTGGACATTTATAGCAGCCAAATACTCGCATGTCTCTAAATGTGGAAGGAAAAACCAGGGGACCCGGAGAAAAAAATCACATGACCACGGGGAGAACATGCAAACTCCAAATATACAGGCATAAGAGTCGGGATCGAACCCACGGCCTCCTGTATACCAGGCAAGGCAGTTAACATCTTGCCATCGTAGATGAATTTCCATCAGCAAGTGGATGAACTCATGTATGGGGATTGTGTTATTTCCCTCGCCCCGCCTTCCCCACTGCACATGTAGATTTTCTCTAGGTGCTAACGAATCCCTCCGACATCCACAAACACTCATGAATGGAGAAACAAAGAAGAGGCTTTACTCCTTCTGGCAATAACACAGGAGGTGTCAAGATGTTCTTACACCACATAGACACCCTATCGCAATGCATCAAATCTGCATCAACCATACATCATGCTTGTGGTAAAACATGCATAAGGTATTCCAACGGTTTTAAGGTAATTTTGGGGTGCCGATTCCAAATCTGGTTTTTGTCTATCACATCAGGTTTTTGAAATATCAAATATTGCATTTTCAATAAAAACTGCGAAGAAAAATATTAAATAAATGTGGATATCTACATAAAATGATCTTCTAAACACACTATCCTAAAAATACAGCACCATATTTTAACACTAAAGCAGTCACTGACTTGCAAGAACTTGCAATCATAAGTGAGTTAATTTCGGGTAAAATCAATGAAAATGGGGTATGCCGATAGCATAAAATGAGATGTGATAGAGCAAATCTGAGATCAGATTTGGAATCAGCACCCTGAAATTAGTCTAAAACAGCTGCAAAAGTCCAGGCCAGAAAAAAATGTTTTGTTGTTGTTGTTGACCAGTGTAATGGTATGCATTGTCCTTGAAACGAATTGGCCTACACCAGAGACAGCCTCCTTCATGGCATTGTCTCTGCACCAGTGGAAGACCAGAGAACGCCATAAGGTGAACAGCAGAAAGGCGATGCAAATATGAAAGCAATGTTGAGCAATTGTGTACATCGGATAAGAGAAGCAGAGAAGGAGGGAGTATGAGGAACAGAAGAGGAGCATTCTTGGCCGTAAGGGGGTGGCACGTACTGGAGAATAGCCCCGACGGTGAATCCGGGCGGCAGCGTGGTGGGGAGGTCCTTGAGCGAGTGCACCACCAGGTCAACCCTGCAGGCAGAGGCGGCAGCGGTAGCAGCACCTCCGATTAGAACGGTTGACCAAGTAGGGTGAAAAATAAGCTCAACGTACGCACAACAATCACACCGCACACTCGTAGAGCCAGCAGCAGCACTCAATACCTCTCCAGGAAAACTGCACGTGGAGTCACGATGGATTTAATACGTCGGCAGCAGCGAGGAGACGTCGTTACGAGTAATTTTATTAAGAGAGCGACAGCTCTCTACATTCTACTCACCGCAGGGAACTGTAGCTACATGACCGCACTCGATGACAACTGGCGCCGAACTATGGCAGAGGCCCTCCGGCATGGTCTAGTGGGAGCCTCTGTACGCCTTCAGGTCAGGAGACGTACCGATAGAGTAGAGAAGTGATCTCCCCAAGGTTTGAACACAAAATATTTAATATTTTCTCTTTTCTTGTTATGCTCCATCATCAGCCAAATGATAAAAACACTTTGCAACTGACAACAAAAATGACCGAAATGTCAATCCACTGCTGAGTGAAGGCCTTCCCACGACATCCATCGCTCACGGGGATTCTTTGACCATACTTCACCACACTGGTCAGGAGAGAGTTGGTGAAGGGAGCCAGCCAAGGACTGGCTTAGATGTCACTTGACAAATGTTAGCGGAGGTAGGGAATTGAACTCAGGTCGTCGGGTTCGTAGCACCGTGAGGTAACCACTCCAACACCACTCCATCCCATTCACAAGTCTCAAAATATTTTACTTAGTTCTGTCAGGACCACATTTGGCAGAGCATGCGCGATGATACATTGCGAGTTGTTTCTATGGATAACACTTGCTTTCGGCGCAAGCCTGCGACAATGTAAATAGTAATGTTTGGGTCACATTAACCTCTGTCTCCGAAACGCTTTGTTTACTCTGCAAATGCCCCGTTTTGGCAAAAAGGTCCGTCCTCAATTGTTAGCGCCTCGTAGCAAATTCATAACGAGGCACCCATTGTACAGTACAAGCACAGGGCCATCACATCACATATTAATCTAATACATTTTATATTTATTTATTATTCCCTTCAACATCAACCCAATAACGTTTCATCATTTGTAATCGACAATAACATTCACAATCCTTTCATCAATCCACCGCTGATTGAGGGCCTCCCCATGCCACGTGGTGCGGCTAACACCACGCCCGGCTGCACCTACGATGAGCCGGGTTGGCTACGTACGGTGCAAAAGAATGTCAACGTACACACACGTGGGTTATCGGGGTTAAGTGACCATACCGTGACCACGCTGGTCAGTGTGGGTTGGTGCAAACTAGTTGTTACAGTGTAACAACTAGGTTTGCTGCCCTGCCCTCTGCTGAAAATTAAGATAGCGCACCACCCTTCCCCCCTGCCCGCGTGAACACTACGGACGAAGCACATAACCAGGTCAACGGGAAGAGGCTTTCTTGGAGCAGCAACTGAAAGCTTCGCCGTGCTGCAATTACAGAGTCCACTCTGGATGGGTGGGTGACCGACAGAAGCCCAGAACGGTAAGTAAAAACGTTAAATGAGAGTGGTGAGCGCAGTTAGTGAGAGTGGTGAGAGTGTTAAGTGAGAGTTGTAAGTGAGAGTGGTGACAGTAGTAATTGAGAGTGTTAAGTGAGAGTTGTGAGAGCGTTAAGCGAGAGCGGTAGGCGAGTGTTAAGTGGACACCACTCACTCGTTCTTTTCCAGCGCTTTCTCCAGCTCCTTGGTGAAGAGGCTCTTCTCTCCGATCTGAGCAAAACACAACGGGGAGGGGGGGGGGCCCCAACAAGCACGTGTCAGCAACAGACTCGCAGTTGGCATCTCCCGCCCCCCCCTTCCTCCTCAAAGGTCACGGATACACCTCGCCGACCTTGTTAAGGAACATAAACCAACATCAGGCAAGCTACAGTTATCCTCGCAGTAGCGGCTTTTGGCTAGCCGTCGAACAAAAACGGTCACTGCACCGCGCGCTTTCGGATGCGCTTCTGCGGCCGTCTGGAATGATCTTCCTTCCGATATTAGGAAGCCACTGGAGCTATGGACTTTCAAATCATGTTGATTGACACATTTTTTTTTAACTGCTTTTTGTGTTTAGTTTTTTGTCCTTCCCCGCCACCTCCAAATTGGCACGGTTGGCTATGTATGGTGAGACAGAAGTTTAACATACATACAAGTGGCTTTTTGAAAGGTCGCAAGATACAAAACAAGCTTTCGGAGGGAATTAATGAGGATAAAAGTGGAGGTGGGGTGTTTGGAAGAGTAGTTAGCACAGTGCACACACTGTGAACCCAGTTTCCCGAGTTTGATTCCTGGCCACGGCTAACATCAGTGCTGAAAGAAAATATTAACCGGCGCTAAGCCTCCCCTGACAACAACCCGCACTGACCAGCGAGATGAAGTATGATGAACGATACTAACCTTTTTTTCATCTTAAGAGGGAAAGCCGACGGAGCTATATAACTCTTTTTCAGAAGCGACTTGGCCACAAATGACAGCTCAACAAAAAGTGGCCCATCATCACGTGGAAATGTTACATCGAACAACCCTCCACAACCAGCTCAACATTTTGGAGGCCTTCATCCAGCAGTGTCACTATTTCATTCCTAAAGCGAAGCGATTAACACGCTTGCGCAACTGAACGCAGGTTTACGTTACATAAGAGGCACCAGCGGCACTGTCGTTTCGTTCTTGGATGTCGCTTTACGAGCCCCGAGGGAGGATGGCGACACTTCACAAAAAACGGCCGCCGCTACCACCGCCCCCCCCCCCCCCCGTTCCCTGGCTCGCCACGGGCACGGCGCCCCCGCGCTTGCCCGAGTTCCCTGTCCCGCCACGAGGCTCCACTCGGGAACAGCCGCCGTCCAGCATTGCCCAACGGGACGAGGGACTATCTCGAATCTGCCGATCGATAAGCCGCACCCCGCACCCACGCGGCCGCGACGGCGGTGAGATGGCGAGATCGCTCAAGCGAGCGGCGCACAAAGCACACTGCAGCTGGAGGGCACGAACGAGATTGTACTCACACCTTCACAGTAACATAATACTAAATTACATGCGCGTCTGTGGTGGAAAATATTAATTATTTAGCTTATATAAAGCAGCCAGTGCTTATTGTAAGGGTATTTTTCTTGTCTTTTTCACCAATGCCTTTCCGATCACGTTCGCATCATCATGCCACAAGACGAAGCGTTCGTTGGGATCTCTCACAGAGCAGTGCAACCCCTTTGTGATCGAGAGCGGCCCTCGGAAGGGGATATCACAGAGTTACTGCTGAAAATCCCTTCAAGCAACCTCCGGGTGACACATTAGAGAGCAGTGCTTTCCCACCTGACATTTTTAAGTTATTAGGAGGTGGAATGTAGCCAACATAAGTGCAGAAGCAAACTTTAATTGAAAGTTGTTTTAGTGCAGCGAATGGAAACCGAGCTGAGACCACCAACTTTACACCAGAAGACCCTGGTTTATTCAGAGGCGGATGCCGCCCGGATTAAAAGCCGGGCTCTCAGCGGTGCCAAGCTCAGCACTCGGATCGCTGAACCCCATGACCACCTCATTAATGGTTAGTTAACCCTTTCCTGTTCCGATGACGTATATGCAAGTCATCGGTTTTTCTTTCTATTCGGAATAAAAACTTTATAGGTTCGTCTTCTGACCTGAAGGCGTACCGAGGATCCCACAAGGTCAAGCGGGAGGGCGTGTCGTGCAATTTGGCACCAGCGATCATAGTGCGCGGTCGTGTCACTACAGTTCTCTGCGGTGAGTACAGTAATATATCTTTAAAAACAACGGTGCTACGCCTCTCTAAATAAAATCAACCCTGAACCGCTTGCGCTTTTCGAGATTCAGCGGTGAACGGGAAACCCCGCCAACTTGCAGCCATCTCGGAACGGGAAAGGGTTAAGAGGACAGTCCTGTGGGTGAACACTTGTTTCGTATGTCCAACATCTTAAGGACATGGGGATTGGCACGAGAATGCCGTTTTCTCACACAACGTCTTTAAACGCTGGAGGCGAGCGCGCCGGCCGTGAACGCGGCCGAGTGGCGGTGGAAAAGCCCTACCTTGGAGAGGGCCACATCCAGTATCTGGTCCCCCGTGGTCGTCATCGCAACTGCAAAGACACGCGCGCCCCGATTTGCCACCCGTCGCGCCAACACTCGAAACGTTCAGCCTTCAGCAGAGGTGACACAGACCTTCTCCTCCAGCCCCCCCCACCCCCCATCGCCGCTTGAAGTGCCTATGTAAGTGGGACAAGAGAGGCCCAGTTCCTCCTCTCTCTATCCCAGCCAAATGAGCGCTGTGTTCGGCCTTTTGCCCGTGGAATTTCTGTGCCCCCTTCCATTGTTATTGTTCACGCTCTGGAGAGCCCACTCTAAGGGGGGGGGGGCCCTAGGTGGCGTGAGCTTGCAATCAGAATGGGTTTGTTGTAACTTTACTGTTGTAATGATAACAAAACGTGTGCTGCTGGAATTTTTCACACCGAACTTTTGATAATGTACAATAAATGCATGGACTCCTTCGTGAACTACACGTGTTATTGGTCAAATAATAAACGCATGCTTAAGCTTATAATTAGGAGTTTAATGTTTCACCCTCTACCAGAGCGGTTTAATAATGTCACGATTTCATTCAATGGCAGCATCTCCAATGGCTGAAGTGATCAAGTCAACCCATTACATACAACATATATGATTTAAAAAACAACGATTTTTACACGTGCAATTTAATGCACATATCATGAGATTAGGAATCTGTATTAATCGATTAATTATTCCACACCTAATTAAAATACAGGGGGCTACAAAAACCAGGGCTCAGTGTATGTCTCCACTAAGCCAGTGTATGCATGTAGAACTTCTTTCGCACCATGCGAAACCAACCGTGCTTAGGGAATGTGATTTCATTTGATCCGATCCTCAACGCTGTCACGTAATATCTATACAGAATTATCAAGGTGCACCAGACTAAAAACTAAACTATATTTATTTTACCAGGTAAAGCCAACTGAAATATAAGGCTCTTTTTCAGAAGCAACCTGGCCAAAAATGATAGCTCAATGAAGTGGCTTATCACGTGAAAATGTATAACAGCCAAATACTCTAATCGCATGTTGATTCAAAATGTGGATGAAAAAAACGGAGGACCCGGAGAAAAATCCACGTGACCACAGGGATAACACGCAAATTCCACATATACATGCGTCAGGGTCGGGATCGAACCCACGACCTCCTGTATACCTGGCGAGATAGTTAACATCTCACCACCGTGGCGCCCTTTCTGTGAAGTGGATATGAAAGGCTGTGGGATGTCATTTACCAGTCGGCCACTCGGAACACAGCCAGGACTTACCGATCTCAAATGTGATGAGAGGGTATTGGGCTTGTAGTAACGCCACCACGCTGTCAGTCTGGATCCGAGCCAACTGCGTGCACACACAGCGGTACGGGCCCACACACGCAGAGGCACACGCACACACATTTAGACACATATGCATGCACACAAAAGACAAAACATTTAACAGACTGTTGGGGGAAGCGCTGTTAGCGAGCACCCATTAAGGCAGGCAGGGCACACAAGGGGGTGGGTGGCCAGCACCACGGCCGGCCGCCTTTGTCTTCCTCGTGCCGATGTTTACACACCACACCAGGAACTCATCTGAGGCCGAGTCGACCTAGGGGAGACCCAGAACTGGTTCACGTACATGCATATGCCTGTACATGTGCATGCACACACACGTGTAACCAAAGGCAAGCACAGCCCAGCAAACAGTACCATATGCAGTTCAACACACTGTATGTAGAACTTCTTTCGCATCGTATGTAGCGGTGCGGGGAAGAACTACAAAATAAACACAAAAAGCAGTTCTAAAAAGAACGAGTTTTCAATCTAGATTTAATCGTGCAAAAAGTGCATAAGACGACGTGGAAAACACGAGCACTCGCTACCATGTCACCACAAAACACGTAAACAATCACAGGGATGTGAAGCTCGCGGTGAATGGTTAATGAACAAAGTTTAAAACTTGAATTTTATCAGCACAAACACTCTGTGAAGGTGAACAAAACAACTTGTGTAATCAGTGAGATTAAAATAAAAATGACAAGAGGTGACCAGGTGACTTAGGAAGTTGTCATTTCCGTGATCCTGGGCTCGAGTGCAGGCAGATGATCATGATTAAACAGAGTTCTCAAGTGTGACGAGTCGATGGCTTCAGTCAGGTTCACCAACGACTGCACAAAACACCATCACTTGAAAATTTGGCTCCGCGCTCGATTTGGCTATATACCAGCTCGGGAAATAAAAAAAGATATTGGTGTGACTGTCAGGTGACGAACATTACTCGGGGAAGGTACCGCAGAGGCAGCTCCGTGAAATTGGCTTCGATTGGACGTTCTCTAACATGGGGGGTTGCAATGTTCCAAAATAGGCTCCAAATGGATATAATGTACAGAGAGAACACATGGCATGATGCAGAGAGCACAATGGGGATGAGATTGAGGAACTTTATACAGTAAACCCTTGTTATTTCGATACATATGGGGCTCTGGCCTTGCCAAATTATCCAAAATTCCAAACACTCTACAATGGTACTCCCCCAGTGCCTCCTGCCTCAATAAAAATAAAATTTCCAAATTTGTTTTCCAAAACTCTTTACACATCAAACGCATTGACACACCTGCATCAATTATATTTTTAAATCCTTTATATTAAGTTCGCATGCTTGCTTGCGTGCTTGCGTGCTTGCTTGCTTGCTTACGACCGTGCAAATCTTTCGGTCGTTTTTTAACCCACTTCCCGTGATCCAATCGAGCTGACATTTTCCACACAGACTCGTTGTGCCAGACAATTAATGTTCGTGAAAAAAAAATTCCCAAAATTTTACACTTTTTAGGCAAAAAAAAATGATTTTACATATATTCAAATATAACTCATTCATCGCTTTGGCTGAACGTCACAGTATAAGAGCCCAGAGCGTAACCCCTCCACAGGCCGTGGCAGAGTAGCGCAGTTGGTAGCGCCCTCGCTTCCCATGCCAAAGGTCGCGGGATCGATCCCCTCGTCCTCCACAGGCGAATATATTTTTAAATCCTTTATATTAAGTTCGCTGCCACGCATATAAAGGATTTATAGTGAAAAACTTTGTTTTTACGGGTTATACTTATTAAAAAATGTGGAATTGTCTCACAGACTAAAGAATTTATACTTCAGTCCCTTTCTATTACTTCTTCATGTAGGTGAAGATGACATTTCTCTGAGAGGGTTGGGCTTGCACAGAGCGCATAAACAAGGTAAAGTCCAAAGCGACACGTCTGCTCTAACGATCACCACGCACGCAGCCACCAGACCAAGACATTGTCCTGGTCGTGGTGTGTGGCGTCGCTTCACGTTTATGCCGAAATTGGACTATTCGGTACGGCAATTCGGCTCATGGCGAGTTAATCTATATATATAAAATCGTTCATGTCTGTGTGTCTGTGTGTGTGTGTGTGGACTGCACTTTCATTGGACGGCGGTTGCCCCTGGCAACGGCTAGCCACGCCTTCGCCGCTTTCATTGGACGGCGGTTGCCCCTGGCAACGAGTAGCAACTTTTCTCCGCGGGGTGGACGCCATTTTTAATAGCGCGGGGGGGGGGGGGACCGGCACCCGTACCCAGCGTTCGCCGGGTGGGAAAATCAGGCAAGGCGGGAGGCTCTGCACGGTGCTAGGCCTCGACACCCAACACGCCACTCTGAGGTAAATTCATACAAATTTCACGTCCTCTACAGAGTGGCGAGGGAGGCAGAGTGGCGAGGGAGGCAGAGTGGCGAGGGAGGGACTCAGCCTCAAAACGAGTAACTGGTGTGGCGTATTAACATCGCCACTGGGGAGACAAAGGCGGCCGGGCGTGGTGGATACAAGTCCCGGGCAAAGCCGGGTCATGACTATGTGTGTATGTGTTTATGTGTATGTCTGTGTGTCTGTATATATGTGTGTATGTATGTGTCTGTATGTGTTTGTGTGTATGTATGTGTCTGTATGTATGTGTGTGTGTATTGTGTATGTGTTTGTGTGTATGTATGTGTGTGTTTGTATGTATGTGTATGTTTGTGTGTATGCATGTGTGTGTATGTGTTTGTGTGTATGTGCGGTTATGTATGTGTGTGTATGTGTGTGTCTGCAGCAAGCGCGTGTATGTGTACCTATGGACGCGCGCGCGTGTGTTGTGTAGGGGGAACGGTAGTGTAGTGCTTAGCGTACTGCCTGTGTCTATGTGTGTGTGTGTGTGTCTGTGTGTGTGTGTCTGTGTGTGTGTGTCTGTGTGTGTGTGTCTGTGTGTGTGTGTCTGTGTGTGTGCGTGTGTGGTGTGTAGGAGGAACGGTAGTGTAGTGCTTAGCGTGCTGCCTGTGTGTGTCTGTGTGTGTGTGTGTCTGTGTGTGTGTGTCTGTGTGTGTGTGTCTGTGTGTGTGTCTGTGTGTGTGTCTGTGTGTGTGCGTGTGTGGTGTGTGGGGAGCGGTAGTGTAGTGGTTAGCGTGCTGTCTGTGTGTCTGTGTGTGTGTGTCTGTCTGTGTGTGTGTTCTGTGTGTGTGTCTGCGTGTGTGGTGTGTGGGGAGCGGTAGTGTAGTGGTTAGCGTGCTGTCTTTGTGTCTGTCTGTGTCTGTCTGTGTGTTTCTGCGTGTGTCTGTGTGTGTGTGCGTCTGTGTGTGTGAGGAGCGGTGGGTGTAGTGGTTAACGCTACGCTGCGCTACCAACCCGGCGAACCGAGTTAGATTCCCGCTCATGGCCACCACCGATCAAGATTATTTGAACCTCACATAGGTCGACTCAGCCTCAAACGAGTAACTGGTGTGGCGTATTAACATCGCCACTGGGGAGACAAAGGCGGCCGGCCGTGGTGGATACAAGTCCCGGGCGAAGCCGGGTAGTACAGCTAGTCTATATATATAAAATCGTTCATGTCTGTGTGTCTGTGTGGACTGCACTTTCATTGGACGGCGGTTGCCCCTGGCAACGGCTAGCCACGCCTTCGCCGCTTTCATTGGACGGCGGTTGCCCCTGGCAACGAGTAGCAACTTTTCTCCGCGGGGTGGACGCCATTTTTAATAGCGCGGGGGGGGGGGGGGGGACCGGCACCCGTACCCAGCGTTCGCCGGGTGGGAAAATCAGGCAAGGCGGGAGGCTCTGCACGGTGCTAGGCCTCGACACCCAACACGCCACTCTGAGGTAAATGCATACAAATTTCACGTCCTCTACAGAGTGGCGAGGGAGGCAGAGTGGCGAGGGAGGCAGAGTGGCGAGGGAGGGACTCAGCCTCAAAACGAGTAACTGGTGTGGCGTATTAACATCGCCACTGGGGAGACAAAGGCGGCCGGCCGTGGTGGATACAAGTCCCGGGCAAAGCCGGGTCATGACTATGTGTGTATGTGTTTATGTGTATGTCTGTGTGTCTGTATGTATGTGTGTATGTATGTGTCTGTATGTGTTTGTGTGTATGTGCGGTTATGTATGTGTGCGTATGTGTGTGTCTGCAGCAAGCGCGTGTATGTGTACCTATGGACGCGCGCGCGTGTGTTGTGTAGGGAGAACGGTAGTGTAGTGCTTAGCGTACTGCCTGTGTCTATGTGTGTGTGTGTGTGTCTGTGTGTGTGTGTCTGTGTGTGTGTCTGTGTGTGTGTCTGTGTGTGTGTGTCTGTGTGTGTGTGTCTGTGTGTGTGTGTCTGTGTGTGTGTGTCTGTGTGTGTGTGTCTGTGTGTGTGCGTGCGTGGTGTGTAGGAGGAACGGTAGTGTAGTGCTTAGCGTGCTGCCTGTGTGTGTCTATGTGTGTGTGTGTGTCTGTGTGTGTGTGTCTGTGTGTGTGTGTCTGTCTGTGTGTGTGTTCTGTGTGTGTGTCTGCGTGTGTGGTGTGTGGGGAGCGGTAGTGTAGTGGTTAGCGTGCTGTCTTTGTGTCTGTCTGTGTCTGTCTGTGTGTGTCTGCGTGTGTCTGTGTGTGTGTGCGTCTGTGTGTGTGAGGAGCGGTGGGTGTAGTGGTTAACGCTACGCTGCGCTACCAACCCGGCGAACCGAGTTAGATTCCCGCTCATGGCCACCACCGATCAAGATTATTTGAACCTCACATAGGTCGACTCAGCCTCAAACGAGTAACTGGTGTGGCGTATTAACATCGCCACTGGGGAGACAAAGGCGGCCGGCCGTGGTGGATACAAGTCCCGGGCGAAGCCGGGTAGTACAGCTAGTAACATACTGTATACATGCCGAAAGTGCAGCCGTGCCGAATAATCCCCAATTACGAATCTTCAAATACCGAAATAAGAGGTTTTTTTACTGAACATTCCAATTTTTTCAAAATATATATAGCAAGTGAAATCTATTAACGTCAAAATGCCACCGCTCTATTTAAATTGATAAATACATGCTATTTTTTTCACCGAGTCTCCAAATGTATAACTCTACACTGATGTCTACCGTAAACCGTGACATCGCAGAGTGCTTACCAACTTGCATACTGCGCATGACCCATCTAGAAAGAGAACGTAAGATAAACTCCAGACACGTGGTATCGCTCGATCATTAAGAATCAAATCTCAGCGGATTTCATTGAGTTTCTGTCGACCGTTGTTGCAGCCACTGCGGGAGTGGTGTAACGCACCCAATCTAACGGGCAGGGCGAGAGATCACATCTCGAAGGCATTTCATTTGAACAGCCACAGACGTGTGGCAATACACGCGCGCGTTGACCGTTATCAACGTTAGCAAACAATTCGTAGTCGTCTATCTTGAACATCATCATCCACTGTGGTCGCTGTACGCTCAGTGCTTTGACAGCAAAGTTGCATCAATTGGCTTAAACTACTGTGGGGGGGGGGGGGGGGGGGGGGCAGTCGACAGAGGTCGCAATCTGGTACCCGATACCCGTACCCTACCCGATACCCAGCTACCCGTACCCGGCCAGGTACGGGTACAGGTACCCGTTTGCGATCCTGGTGCGGCCAGGTACGGGTACGGGTAGGCCGTGAGTCACTGGTGAGTAACCGTTTGTCACTCATTTCCCAACGTCTTGTCTCTTCTCACAATTCAAGTTCCTAGAATCAACCCACCCGCGCCTGCAACATGGCTTCATCCCAGAGGTCGCAATCGGGTACCCGATACCCGTACCCTACCCGATATCCGGCTACCCGTACCCGGCCGGTATCCGTATCCGTACCCGGCCGGGTACGGGTACCCATTTGCGACCCTGGTGCGGCCGGGTACGGGTAAGGAATCAAAACCCGTTTGCGACCTCTGGCAGTCGATGCATCCAGAGAAACATATGGTACGGTCATCAATATGAAAACTCAACCGGGAATTATATATCAACAAAACGTCGGGACAAGTGTACACAGTTAACTATTGATCAGCAGATTAACTGTGCCTGTGAGAAAAGGTATCAAAATATTAAATATCATATTCCACAATAGTTTTCACCCTTTACACACACACCGCTACTATATTACCCACTCTGAACTCGTGACACTCCGACCAGTTAATTCAAGAAACAATAAAGTCTAGAAGACACATTCTACTTATTCACCCCATGATATGTATGTACAAATGTGCTTGTAGAACTTCATTTAAACATGGTGGCGAGATGTTAACTCCCTCGCCTGCTATACAGGAGGTCGTGGGTTCAAGCCTGATCCCGACGCCTGCTGCTGTATATTTGGAGTTTGCATATTCTCCCCGTGGTCGCGTGGATTTTTCTCCGGGTCCCTCGGTTTTTCCCTCCACGTTTAGAAACACACGTTTAGAGTATTTGGCTGCTATAAATTTCCACGTGGTAAGCCACTTAGTTGAGCAATCATTTGTGGCCAGGTCGCTTATAAAAGAGCTACATAGCTCAGTGGGCCTTACCTGGTAAAAAAAAAAAAGTTTAGTTTATGTTTGCATAATCGGTGTTTTCATTTTATCCTGGAAACCCCTCACACCCCATTCATGAGTATAAGGCTTCTAAAATTTCAGGAATAAATGTTTCTACATCGGAGAATGAATCAATTAATGGACTGTTGGAATCGACCAATCAATAACTTTTCAAGTATTTTTAAAGATCCTGCAATGATGTTTAAATATCGCAAGACGACCTAAAGTGCCATGCCCTCAAACAAAGTTTACATGATTAATAACATAAAAGATTAAGCTGCACTATAATGTTTGGTGAAATGTAACTGTAAGGAAAAAAATACTTGCTCATGTTACCAATATTCATTATTTTAAATACAATTGTTATCAAATAGCGTACTTAAACATTGCCGTATATGAATACGATGTCTTAACATGAGTCTCCACTGACACGTGCTTTTTTTTAAGAATCAGAAGTTTATTTCCCAACTAAAGCCCATTGAGCGAGGAAGATTTTTTTTTAGGGTGACTTGGCCGGCAGACAACATCAGAGCATTCCACAATTAAAGATGTTTTAAAACATAATAATAGCAATTATTTAGTAAAACGGCATTCGCACTTCTTAAACTTTGTGATTTTAATAACAGTCAGTTTAAAACTATTGTACGTTCGTGCAGATCCAGCATGAGCACCTTCACTACCGCTACGAGGTGCTGAAGAAGATTGGGGACGGACGTGCTGACACTTGGGGACGGACGTGCTGACACTTGCTTCAACACCGCAATGCATATTGCCCCATTCAAAATGCTCAGCAAAAAATGATGCACACACCATACTTACTATGACCAAATCGTACTGAATGTGCCTAATCTTGTCGGATCCCAAAAGCTAAGCCGGCATGAGCCTGGTTGCTACTCTGATGGGAGACTGTCTGGGAGTTCAAAGGGTGATCTACACTTGGGCTGCGAGGTGGCCAAAAGGTGGCAGCACAGAAATGGGTGAAATCCATCTGTGTGCAGCTTTGAATGTCATCCCCTCGTCTGCAATGACCCCAGATTTCTTCCCCACGTGAAGCCGAACGCTCATTACAACGTAACTTCGCCAAACTTTTCCCATTGGGCGACCCTCCGAGAAATATAGGCTTAAGATTCATTGAGGCTTTCCGTGCATCGAGGGCATTTAATTCCGTAATTCTTTCCGTACCTGGCTTTTCCGTGTTCCAACTCGCACCACTTGCGGTGGGCGGACATCTCCCGTACTCTGTGAAAGAAAGAAGAGTCGAAGTTAGAGCGGGCTAACTTCTGGACATGCCTTGTGTTGGGTTTTCATCGTCGGTGTTTCACCTGAAAATGCTGGAAGCATTGTTATTGCAGGCAAAAGAAAACAGCAGCAAATGGAGTGCATGTTAAAGTAACAATGTTACACCACCACCACATCCGTGCATCCTCAACCTGTGCACGCCAACAACCACTGAGCCCACCACTCAGAGAAGCAATCAACCGGCTGAGAGGAGATCTCAAGATGTGGGTTATACGTTCAAGAGAGCTGCACAGACCAGAGGACATTAGACACGAGAGCAGCCAAAGAAGCCACAGAAGGATGTTTTTTGTTAAAATGACCATTATGTATTCACATTATGTAGCTATGTGCTGCACAAGATGAAAGGCCAGTGCAGAATGGTTGTGCTCCACACCTTCACCAAGCCACACGGACCAGCATGGTAAAGTATGGCCAAACAATCCACATGACCGACAAAGGCATGGAGAGGCCATCAACAAGCAGTGGAGTGACAAAGGCCTGAACATTATTATTCAGAATTGGAATCTTTATTCAGAATGGTGGAATCCGATGAGCTATGAAGATCTTTACCACAAATGTCCAGTATGATTATGATCATAATCCATATCACGACAGAAATATATATATTAGATGAATGAAGCTCAAACCACAAAATGAATGAACAAAAACAGCTCCCGTGTCAACAGCTAAGCGGGGTTAAAAGTGAGCAAGTATTCTCTTCACGTTACTTTTACTATGACTGTACTGTGAATTTGGTAGTGAAAATCACACATATTCCAGTAAAGTGAAAAAGTCTTGACATAGACATTGTGAGCGATCAAGCCACTTATGTAAATTAAAGTGCTATTAAATGTAGTCATTAGTCATTAGGGTCCGGTCAGTTAGCAGTCAATAAATGGAGAGCAGCGTGGTTTATGGTAAATAACAAATACAATTAACAGCAAAAGCAGCCTCTTAAGAAAATCCCGGTCAAGTTTACAATTTATGGTGAACTTCTTTCGCACCGTACGTAACCAATCGTGCTAACAGTGAACTTATGTATACTGAGCGTGATTAAATTTCACTTAAAAGCCAGCTGCTATTGACACGGCGTGTCCGTACCCTAAGGAATTGTGACTGCAACACTGTCACTTAGACCCGTACCCAACGATACTAAAAGTATTGAATGGTGACTGCATTAATTCTAGATTTGAAGCTTTCGTGACTGCAAGGATTCATACTCTTAGGTTTTGTCGGTAAAGTCACGTAGGTATACATTAGGGTGGGTAGAATAATACATAGTGTAATATTACAATGTATAGTCTAAGGTGGTGTATAGTAATGCAGTATATAATTTAATGTTGGGTTTGTCTATGGCAGTATATAGTATGGGGTAGATCCGTGTGATGTAAGAAAAAGTTTAGCTGGAGGCATATTATATTTTTTGCGACAAAGAATTGTAATGTATGACTTACTGTTAGTAGCTCAGCTTATTGGAGAGTATATTTAGTATATTGATGATATTGATGTACACTATGAGATCTCTTTTACCAGTGGCAAAATATAGTAGTAGGTTTTTACCCTTTTAAACTGGTACAAAACTGACACCTTTATTCAAGGCATCATGTTTGCCACAACACAAGTAGTCAAAAAATCAAACAAAAAGAAGCAACTCTGATGATGATAATAATATGCACTGTCCTTGAAGTTGATTGGTACACACCCGAGACGGCTTTCTTTAGAGCCTAGTCCCCATTGGTGTTGGACCAGATGACACCAGAAGGTGTACAACTCAAACACAGTGCAATATCAGAGTATTGAGAGCTCGGGGTAAGCATTTACACTATGAGATCTCTTTTACCAGTGGCAAAATATAGTTGTGGTTATGGCAAACATGATGCCTTGAATAAAGGTGTCAGTTTTGTACCAGTTTAAAAGGGTAAAAACCTACTGCTATATTTTGAGTGTGACTGCATTACTTTCTTACTGTGGTGCTGTAGTGGATTGTGGCAGTGTTACCGTAGTACATTGAAGGCTATACGGTGCAGGTATTTACCTTTGTAGTACTGTAACAGTGAATACGGTATTACAACTACAGCATTGCATTACAACTATAGTCATGGCTTTATTATTAGACCAATTCCAAACCTTACTGGTTAACCCTTTATAAATCTCAACGTTCATCCTACAAAAACCCAACACATGGGAGAAACACAAACAAATAGACATTTAATCTAGATTTCAAGAAAAAAATTTGCACGGATTTAAACGGCTTATCGATCTGGAAACTCAATTTCACCTTGACCAGAATTCGAGGTCTAACCCCGCGTGGTTTGATGGCTTTGCTGCTACAGTCGTGAACGCAGCACCCACTACAAGCTACGCAGCCACTTCCCCGTGGCCCCCACGTGTCTGGGCAACGCATGCCAATGACCCCATTCCGGTAGTGACTACAGTACACTTAATAGATTTTGATTTAAAGCTTTCGTGACTGCAGGGATTCATCTTCTTGGTTATTTCGGTAAAGTCACGTAGAAGGGATGTAATAAAATAATAAAACATAATAAAATTATTATTATATTATGCATTTATAATAATAATAAAAATAAAACATAATAAAATTATTATGTTTTATTTTTATTATTTTATTACATCCCTTCTACGTGACTTTACCGAAAGAACCAAGAACACTAAATATAGTACCGCATCAATGACTACGACTGCCTGTACCACTACAGCAGTCGACACTGCACACGGTGTACAGCATGTCACTTACACACACCAGCCTTCACGTGTCCTGCACGTGTCCGTGTAAGTGACTTGCAGTACCGTACCGACTACAGCGCTGTCGTAGCAGTAGCAGCGACTGCGTTCGTCAACACAGTACACAGGCTACAACAATAATAGTTGGTTCTGTGGCGAGTGTGTAGACGAAGTCCCACCGCAAACTCACCGCGCCGTTCTCCGCCATCGCCGGCTCGTCCTGCTTGCCCGCGGGGCCTCTCTCTCGTCACCCCCCTCGTGCTCGCCCTTCACACCGCGGCTCGTGGGCTCGCTCGGTTGGACACGACGGCGGCGGCTGAAGGACGGCGAAGGGTCGAGTCTGAGGCGTCGTGGCTCGCCGTGCAGCGAGAGGAGCGGTGGCAGGAGCCGTGGGGACGCGTTCCTCTCCCCGGACTCGACTCCACTCCACTCCGCCTCGCTCGGACAAAGTCGCCGCACCCCCCACAGAGCCCCGCCCCCCACAGCGCCCCCCATAGCCACGCCCCCACCGCCCCCCCCCCCACAGCCCCGCCCCCCATAGCCCCCCCCACAGCTCCCCCCACAGCCCCGCCCCCCATAGCCCCCCCCACAGCCACGCCCCCACCGCCCCCCCTCCACAGCTCCCCCCATAGCCACGCCCCCACCGCCCCCCCCACAGCCCCGCCCCCCACAGCCCCGCCCCCCACAGCCCCGCCCCCACCACAGCCCCCCACAGCCCCGCCCCCCATAGCCACGCCCCCCCACAGCCCCGCCCCCACAGCCCCGCCCCCACAGCCACGCCCCACGCGCGCGCGACCGGCCTCGTCTCGACCAATCGCAACGCGTGTTGCTAGGGAGGGGAGGGACAGAGGGAGGGGAGGGAGGGGGGAAGGGAGGGACAGGGAGAGGAGAGGGGAGGAAGGGGGTTGGAGGGGAGGGGGAGGAAGGGGGTTGGAGGGGAGGCAGGGGGTGGGAGGGGAGGGGGGAAGGGGGTGGGAGGGGGGAAGGGGGTGGGAGGGGAGGAAGGGGGTGGGAGGGGGAGGAAGGGGAGGGACAGAGAGAGGGGTGGGAGGGGAGGAAGGGAGGGGTAGGAGAGCAAGGGGGTGGGAGGGGAGGAAGGGGGTGGGAGGAGAGGAAGGGAGGGGTAGGAGAGAAAGGGGGTGGGAGGGGAGGAAGGGGGTGGGAGGAGAGGAAGGGAGGGGTAGGAGAGCAAGGGGGTGGGAGGGGAGGAAGGGGGTGGGAGGAGAGGAAGGGAGGGGTAGGAGAGCAAGGGGGTGGGAGGGGAGGAAGGGGGTGGGAGGAGAGGAAGGGAGGGGTAGGAGAGCAAGGGGGTGGGAGGGGAGGAAGGGGGTGGGAGGAGAGGAAGGGAGGGGTAGGAGAGCAAGGGGGTGGGAGGGGAGGAAGGGGGTGGGACAGAGAGAGGAGAGGGGAGGAAGGGAGGGGTAGGAGAGCAAGGGGGTGGGAGGAGAGGAAGGGGGTGGGAGGGGGAGGAAGGGGAGGGACAGAGAGGGGTGGGAGGGGAGGAAGGGGGTGGGAGGGGAGGGGGGCCCGACCAGCACGCGGTCTAGCAGCGCGCCGTTGGCTGAGATGGTTAAACACGCGGCCAGCAATTCGATATGACGTTTGCATCTATACACGTGCCGAACAGTTAGACATACCTGTCAACCCCTTATCAGTGCTCTACCTTATTACAGACCAATTCAGACCTTATCGGTCACCCCGTGCCCCTTATAAATATCAACGTTCATCCGACAAAGTCCCATCACAAGGGATAAAACACGAACACCTCCAACACGGAAGAGTGGTCCAAACAAGTAATATTTAAAAAAAACTTTTTTTAAACACGCTTTTATGAAATGTCCTAGTAATGGAAGAACTCCACGACTCCAGGAAGTGACCCCGAAGCTTACCACAACGTAAGGGACCGTGGCCAATTACAGCCAACGTCAGTTGACCGTGGACAATTAGACCCAAGCCGAAACATAACCTATAAAAAATTATTTTAGAAATATATTTTTTATGACAGAATATAGTATTGTGATCAGTATGGCAAGTTTGCAGTCGATACCACATTGGGAAGTGGGTTAAAATTGGGTTACAAGATTTGAGGATACAACAGAGTGAGTTAAATGAAAGCGTGTAGTAAAAATACCTTCTGGAGGGGATGTCAAGAGCTCCTACAATTGGCGCCGCTGTGGCGAGATGTTAACTCCCTCGCCTGTTATGCAGGAGGTTGTGGGTTCAATCCTGACCCAGACCCTGGCTCTTACTGTGTATTTATTCTTTCTCTCTCTCTGTGGATTTTTCGCCAGGTCCTCCGGTTTATCCTTCCACATTTGGAATCAACATGCGTTTAGAATATTTGTCTGCTATAACTTTACACATGATAAGCCACTTAGTTGAGAGATCATTTGTGGCCAGGTCACTTCTGAAAAATAGCTAAATAGCTCAGTGGGCCTTATCTGGTAAAAAAAAAGGTCAAGAATAGTGTTGTCAGTCATGGGTATTGTATGACCATACCTCACCATGCTAGTCAGTGTGGCTTGGCAAAGTGGAGTTCCCAGGACAGGTTCAGATAGCACCCGCCACTGATGTTAGTCATGGCCAGGGATTGAACTCGGGTCAACAGGTTCGTAGAGCAATGCTGTGTCACAGTTGGTTCGTGCATTGCTCTCTAGATGGCAAGACTATGCCAACACCTTCGATTAGCACAGTTGACTATGTTCCATGCGAAAGAAGATCAACCTTGCTTGCATACAACAAAATCTAAATTAATTAAAAGTGAAGCAAGCATTGGACCTTCGAAATGTTTATTGAAATTAAAGTATGCTTCAAAATTTCAAAGCAATGTTTGATTTATTTCAATATTTTCAGACCACTCAAGTGGGAAAATTGTAACGGTCATTTATAGCGATTAGATTTGTATACAAATATGCAATAAGTTTGCATTTATATTGCAATATTTAATCATTATAAACACGGCTTATAAGGTGGTCAAATTTTATGTAACAAAACGTTTTGGAGCACAGAGCCCCCTATTGGTAGCTATCGCTCTGTGGCACAAGACTCGACACCTAACTCGTGATGGGCAATATTTGTTCAACATGACTTGTGTTTCATCTTCTTGGTTGTTTCGGTAAAGTCACGTAGAAGGAAAATAATAAAATAATAAAAATAAAACATAATACAATTCTAACGACGTTTGCATATCAAGATGAATTTAGCATATTTATGGGAAATGCAGATATGCGATTAGTACTACTTGTGAAATGCGTAGGAGGTTTGGCGAGGGGTTTAAAGTCAATGCAAAATAGCCAATGTATCATGGGTCTCAATGGGCCTATATTTCATCTTTCTGGTTAAAGGATACTACTACCACGAGCCTTGAGATGAAGCGATTATTGCACGAGACTGAGGTGGAGTTTGTAAGGAATCACTGTGTTCACAGTAAACAGCACCGATTTCCGTGCTTGTGAAATGCTCAATAATCGGCAGTGCCACCGTGAGCTTGCGAGACATGCCAAACACGTGCCACTTGAGAGGTCCAGTCCGATCAGATGTTAACCCTCATCCGGTCAAGTGTGTTTGCCTTTTAAAAACAAACGCATTCACGTTTCTACGCTACCACTTCTGGACCGACGTTGTTTTCTCTTCAAGTCTCACTCAGGAACAAGGCCAAAAGTTCAAACACATACAGCAGAGAACTCATTCTAACACTCGATAAAGATATTTTTTTATGATTGGTTATACAATTCACGTGACATCGTGACAGCAAATTTACATTGAAGAGTCCAAGCAATGCCAAAATGAATTAAGATGAACAAAAAAGTGAAACGGTTTTATTATTTTATAGGACCTCCTTTGCCAGCACCCAAATATGAGAATAGGTGTTCCCCTTTTTTCTGGCAACAAAACAGGTGTTGAGATATTAAAACACCAAACTGAAACCTTAACAAGGAATCATGTCTACATTAACCACAATACTTGTGGTCTGAATGCAAAAAAACACATACACACACACCACTCACACCGCTCACACGGAGAGCACACATACACACCACTCACACTCACACACCGCTCACACGGAGAGCACACACACACCACTCACACACCACTCACACACACCACTCACACACACACACCACTCATACACACACACACCACTCACAACGCGCGTGCATTCTGTATGAATCACTGCTTCTTACACATGCCCCATCTCACTTGGCGTGTGATCTTCAGTCTAAGATGCACGGGTATACAGAACCTGTGGTGGCGTGGTTTACGTTATTTCTTTGCGACGAATGAATGGCTCGACATTTCTCAAGAGTGTCAAACAAAAAATAGAAAAATCACAAGCGGCTCTTGCGTTTATTACATAATTTCTTTCCAGCGTTTTGGCGTAAGCGTGAGAGCCATCACCAATTCGGCTGACCGACTGATATTGTAACGCCATAGAATTGATGACACAACTGGAATCTCGCAAAGGTGCGTGTCGTGTGTTAGGTTATACGTATATATATAAACACGTTCATACTATTAAGCGCGTATGTGTTCAGCGACTCAGCCTCGAATGAGTACCTGGTGCGGTGTGTAAACATCGCCACTGGGGAGACAAAGGCGGTCGGGAATAGTGCTGGCCACCCACCCCCTCGTGTGCCATGCCGGACTTCATAGACGCACTTGCCGTCACACCACCGTTCAGGCAACACGGGGAGGAGGGTAACTTCGTATTTGCGTTCCGCGCTCAGACAATACAAATGATAAACTATGGGTGTATATGTAATACGAGAATTATACACCACACAGGACCTCTATGTAACGTTATTTTGACGCATTACGCAGTCAATGAGCGAATGTCTCTCGCCTTGGGCGCTTGTCAATCGCAGCATTGACACCGAACTTGTGCCACGAGCGAAGATCTTCCGCCGTTTTTTTCAAATTTTCTTGCTGTGGATTTCACACCGGATGATGATGATTGCTTGTGTTACAGTCGAAACGTCGTGAGAATTTTAATTGTTTTATATTTTATACTAGCTGTACTACCCGGCTTCGCCCGGGACTTGGATCCACCACGCCCGGCCGCCTTTGTCTCCCCAGTGGCGATGTTAATATGCCACACCAGTTACTCGTTTTGAGGCTGAGTCCCTCCCTCACCACTCTCCCTCCCTCACCACTCTCCCTCCCTCACCACTCTGTAGAGGACGTGAAACTTTGATGAATTTACCTCAGAGTCGCGTGGTGGGTGTCGAGGCCTAGTTCCATGCAGAGCCTCCGGCCTCGCCTAAATTGCCCACCCGGCTGAGGCTGGGTACGGGTGCCGTTCCCCCCCCCCCCCCCCCCCCCCCGCTGGGCTACAATAATACTGTCTAATCGCTATAATTTTATAATCTACCGACCCTATAATAGTAATTGCACACATTGTGGTGGGGGGGGGAGTGAAGAGGACGTGAAACTTTGATGAATTTACCTCAAGAGTCGCGTGTTAATGCGTGCGCCTATTTTTAATGGGAATTAAAAATGGCGTCCACCCCGCGGCGAAGGCGTCGCTACCCGTTGCCAGGGGCAACCGCCGTCCAATGAAACTGCGTATGGTCCGGCGACACACAGACACACACACAGACAGACAGATTCGCGATTTTATATATATAGATTATTTCCCTTCTACGTGACTTTACCGAAACAACCAAGAAGATCAACCAACAACCCTGCAGTCACGAAAGGTTTAAACAGAATACCTATCATGATCCAAGCAACACAGTAACACGCGATCACAATATATACCATATTGCACACTCAGTTTCAATCTTCCGATGCAGCCATTGAAACAATAGCCAAGTTCCTTAAGTCCCACCTTTGTCCATCCAGCCTCTTAAAACTCTAACGAAAGCGCTTGTGCCGGAAGTGACACGAGCAATAAATGTTAGGTCTGTACCTTTATCTTTACACTCAACTTTCACCGTCAAGTAAACATAATGAAAAATCAAACGTAACAAAAATGACAAAAGGGAGAAATGTTTTCACGGGGAAAATCCATCGGTCACTTCCCCGTCATCAATGCACGGGTACTTGTGCTTAAAGAACACCTTCAAGATGTCCATCTTCACCAGGTCGCACTGCCGTGGGGGCAGGCTCTTCAACATCAGGGCCACGTGGACACCAAACGCATCGTTAGCATCGTGTGGGAGCTGCAGCCTGGAGTGCAGGTCCCTGCCGGTCACGTGGTGAAGCAGGTCCGGGCCAGAGTGTCCTGCCGCTCCGATCAGGCGACGCTTCCTCGCATGGGGCGCCTGCGATGACGACATGAGCAGGCAGCCCGAGTTGCTGGGGTCGGACGGCGCTCCGATGGTGTGCGAGTCAGAGGCAATCTGCTCGCAGGCGGCCAGCGCGTCGTCATTCTCGTTGTCCTGCAAGGCGCACGCATTGTTCACACTCCTTGAATCTGCACGTCTTGTGGCCAATCCGACTACAAACTTTCGCACGTGAAAACAAAGTCTGACATGCGAATACGGAAACACCGACCAGATCATTGACCACACAGCATCGAAAGACAGTGAACTATGAACATTCAGAGGCATTGAAGTAATTCACTGCACATCAAATGATGCCACTTCCTGGATAAACGAATCTGGAAACGGATGCATAAGTTGTTATTCGTCCAGCCAAACACAGCATGAAGGCACATGGAGGCACACATGGTTATCATCACTGCTTTTATCCAGCACTTGGTTGGACCACATGGGGATACGTTTTGCATTTTCAGTCTGGTGTACGACACCCGCCTGCTGGTCAAAACACTATTTGCAAGGGGTGGTCGTATATAGAGTGGGGTTGCAGCAATGTCATTTTTAAATCCTTTATATTAAGTTCGCTTGCTTGCTTGCACGCTTACGACCGTGCAAATCTTTCGGTCGTTTTTTAACCCACTTCCCGTGATCCAATCGAGCTGACATTTTGCACAGACTCGTTGTGCGTGACAATTTATTTTCGTGAAAAATTTTTTTCTCCAAAATTTTACACTTTTTAGGAATTTTTTTTTTTCATATTTAATTACCAATTGCTTAATGGTGGCAGGCAATCATCTGACCCATAGGTGGCAGCCATCTCAAGCTAGAGGACGAGAGGACTCTAGACGCCCGTTTCAAAGACCAATGTGGGCTGGGTTGTGGCCCATTGAACACGCATATAAAGGATTTATAGTGAAAAACTTTGTTTTTACGGGTTAATTTTATTCATGATACGATATGAGATTTCATGGTAATTATTGCGACATCAATTAACCTTAACTTTGTAATTGCGCTTCACATTTGCATAATTTTTCTTGTGTTTGGATGTACTTCAAATACAAATAAAGATTGCTAAATGAATGTATTCAACTGCAGTCCACTCAACAAGCCTGCCACAAGTCTAATATCATCGTAATTTTACAACCTATGATGCTTATAACACAAGTCTGAAAATGATTGTCCTATAAATCGACAATTATACCTGCAAACGTTTTACAAAGCACTCACGTAATTGTTAACATCTTTTTATTTACTGAACTCTTAATTCACATTTGCTTCTTTCGGTAAAGTCACGTAGGTAGAAAAATAATAGTAGATCACGTGGCGATCGAAACGTCGTGATCTATTATTTTTCTACCTACGTGACTTTACCGAAAGAACCAAAGAGTATGGATTCCTGCAGTCACGAAAGCTTCAAATCAAGATTGAACTTTTGATTATTTCGTAAATATTTTGCAATAAAATTCAATCTTTCTGAAATATTTAACAAGCTACAATAATCGTATATTTAGCAAAATTAACAATACGATTAGAGCGCAGGGTCGCTGAATTTCATTCAGCCAAGAAGCAAAACAACCTTAGCATTGCTCGTGGAAACGGAAACCAGTAATGCACTTTAACCCCACGTGACTGTGACCCCTGCCATCAGGTGAATTGTCTCGTGTACCTCCTAGTAATGTCACGCGTACTCGCAACCACAGGTCAGGTATCAATGCACTGTATCATTGAGAACAGAGAAATCGTACCGAAGTGCTAAGTTTGAGAGCGGCATTCGTAACGACGGGGAGGGACGCCCGCTGCAGATTGCTGATGTTGCCTCTGGTGCAGTACGTATTGCGGATAAAGCACATTTTGTCGAAATGCACCCAACGGGGAATGTACTGCTTGTTGGAGTCTAACCACAGCTCTTTACACTGGTCCTGCTTGCGCAACTCCCTGTAGTAGCTGCCTCGGAGCACCTTCCACTTGGTCTTGATGTCCTCCTCTGCAATAATGAGAACGAACATGGGGACAGAACCGCCGCTGAGCCTCACATCCGATACAAATCATCGTAATTATCGTGTCTGGTTTAAGAACTGGTGGATCGCATACTGCAACGACAACAACTTGCATTTATATGGCATCTGCAATTTAACAGTTTCATTTTTGCCTATAGACCCCCCTGATGGCATCTGTCCCTGCATTGCACAATATGGGCATTAGTCTGCTAGGAGGTAATATTGCTACTGGTTGTTCTAAGTACGTAACTTGCGAGCACTATGCACCAAGAAAAAATAATCCACATCTGATGTTTGCACATTGTGGAGCCAAAAAAAATTGGCTTGTGTAACATGTGCACTTCTTGAACTGGAAAACTCTGGAGTACAAGTCCAGTGTGCTACCCTCATTACATCAGTTCAGCAACCCAGGAGCCCAGGATATCAAACTCCTAATTAATAATTATAATAATCTTTGCATTTACATGGCAATCAAGTTGCTCAGCATCACCAAGTGCTTACATCTCATCTCAACCAATCGAAGTCTACCCCCCCCCCCAGTGGCAGCTGTCCAAGGTGACTTGGCACCAACCTGCAAGCGTGCATTAGGCTGCCCGTAGCGGGTGGCGATTGCGACGTGTAATCCCAATTGAGTAATCTCTGCAGGTAGTTTTTCAATTTTGGACCACAATGCCAGCACAAAGCGGGTTACTCTTTTGTACTGACGTGACATGACCGTCAACAGTCCCGCAGTATTAAGCAGGAAGGCCTTCCAGATATGAACCTAAAACATCCTTTGCAACGTGCAGCGAACGCTGGTCTATGCCACTGGCCCATTGACTGAAAGGAGCCATGCTGTGATTTATTCACGCACACCTCTGAAAGGAATTCCCTGCGAGTCGGCACCAAGGAATTGCCGTAGCTCACTAAGCCGTTCCGCTCTCATGTCCTGCCTGAAGTAGTCAGGGTCGGTGTCATTCCACAGCAGCCGATTGTCTGCGAAGACACGAAGCATTCACACAACCAGATTTCATTACACGACTCCCACGCATGAATATGTAGCAATGGGTAACGCTAAAACGATGGTAAACATTGAACACGTGTAATTTACAGTACTTGCTTTCAGACGCGCTCCTGCGGCCGTCTGGAACGCTCTTTCGTCCGATATCAGGCAGACACTGGAACTATCCACTTTTAAATCGTCTAGATTTAAAACTAATTTCTATAAGAACTGCTTTCTAGGTTTAGTTTCTTGTCCTTCCCCCGCAACTCCGCTTAGCACGGTTGACTACGTACGGTGCGAAAGAAGTTCAACAAATAAATGAAACTAAACTAAAACATTTAACTAAACACACATACATTATTCATTACACGACTCCCACGCATGAATATGTAGCAATGGGTAACGCTAAAACGATGGTAAACATTGAACACGTGTAATTACAGTACTTGCTTTCAGACGCGCTTCTGCGGCCGTCTGGAACGCTCTTCTGTCCGATATCAGGAAGCCACTGGAGCTAACCACTTTTAAATCGTCTAGATTTAAAACTAACTTCTTTAATAACCGCTTTCTAGGTTTAGTTTCGTGTCCTTTCCCCGCACCTCCGCTTAGCACGGTTGGCTACGTACGGCGCGAAAGAAGTTCAACAAATAAATGAAACTAAACTAAAAAATGTAACTAAACACACATACATTATTGCTACGTTCAATTCACAAACTGGCACACGAAGCAAACCGAATGGCTGAATCACATAGAACCGAATCTCTAAGGGTGGCTCTACCATTGGCAATACAATATCACCATTGTTTGCCATGCCATGGTGTCAAATGACACCCTTGCAACCCAGATGTTCAATCTCTCAAGGGATTATCCAGGTGAAATTAGCGTTATACACACACATGGCAATACCACAATATCGTGGATATTGTGGTATTGCAGCAACGTCGCCATTCGCGTCGTAATTAACGTTATTTACTATTCACTTTAAACATTACATGGCCAACGGTGACCGCGACGTTAGGATTTATTGCACGATATTGTGGCAATACCACACGACTCCCACGCATGAATATTGTGGTATTGCCACAATAACAAACTCACACGGCTAATGAGTTTAATTTCAAAACAAAAGTACAATTTTTTTTTAGAGCGAGCGTCGTTCTTTAAACGCGACCGCCTTGGCCGTCATTCTTTCACCGGGAAAAGCGCACCGATCCACGCAAGCGGCCTAGGAAAGCCGCTTAAAGCCTAATTATATAGGCCCCACCCCCCGCAAAAAAACACACATACACGGCGCGCGATTTTAAGCTCGTGTGCGCCGTCACGATGAACACGAAGGAGTAGTCAGGCACCTTGGAAGAAATCTATGAGGAGGCTCTCCTTGCCGGTGTCCCACTTCACCTTCCTCCGCGACTCCACGTTCCCGGGCAGCTGAGAGCAGGAGGGGACCGCCATGGAGACTCAGGGACCGCGACGAATCACGCGCAGTGCGAGCCGCGACAGTTATGGGCAGACCTCGCCGAACGCTGGGGGGTTACGTTCTTGGGGAAAAAAACCGTGCTGGGCAAAACCACTTTCGACAAATAATGGAGCCTGTGGGAAAGATAGGGTTGCGTTCCTGGGTCCGAAATGATCATTCCCCTCCCTCTTTGTTTAACTAATTTAAAAAAAACCCTCCCTGTATTATGGATATTGGTCGCGAAAGCCTGCGTATTAAACGAGTCGCTTTCCATTTCTTGTGTATAGACTATTTTTCAATTTCACCTCAACACAAAACCTCCGTCTCTATTACTCTTCCCGGCACCGCGGCACTCACGCCCGACGCTCGCTCCTGACACCGTCACTTGAACATTAATGATTCGCGTCCGTACGACTGACGGCTAGATGCATACATGCGGCAACGTGAACATTTGTGAAGTGTATTTGTGCGTGTTGAATACGTGTAACATTATCACACAAAACATACACGTGGTAAATAAATCGTTCTCACAGTTGATTCATTCACCCTCCAACGGATGCAGCGCTCTCACCGCACTACTTTTTGACGTGGAGATCAGAATCCGAATTTTTATTGAGATTGGAAGCACCCGATGAGCTATGAAGCACATTTTTACAGATGTCCTGTAGCGTCAAACCGCGTGCAGCCGAAACATCACCCCGGTGTTCCGGAAAACAAGACCTCAACTTGGTAAACCGTGTATAGCCAAAACACGCGTTTAATAAAGCCGCGTTGGGCAAGATTTTCCTGCAAAGTATAAACATGAGCAACCATTCAGGGCAAGGCGATAAAGGCATCGCATGTATTGGGTGTTCTTGGTTCTTTCGGTAAAGTCACGTAGAAGGGAAGTAATAAAATAATAAAAATAAAACATAATAAAACAATTCTCACGACGTTTCGGCCACAACGCAAGCAGCCGTCCTCAGGTGAAAACCAGGTCCGTCGAGGCGACAGAGTCTGAATGAAACAGCACACGGGCTTAGAGCATATATATAAGCTGGGCGCATTGACAAAGGAATTTGCATATCAACAGGAATTTAGCATATTTATGGGAAATGCAGGAATGTAATTAGTACTGCATATGCATGTGCATTATGCAGGATTAACAGCATCAAAGGGAGCTGCAGTTACTGCTGCTGCAGCAGTTGCTGCTGCTGCAGTTTCTGCTGCTGCTGCAGTTGCTGCTGCAGTTGCTGCTGCTGCTGCACTTGCTGCTGCTGCTGCACTTGCTGCTGCTGCTGCACTTGCTGCTGCTGCTGCAGTTGCTGCCTTATCCATTTTAATATAACACTATGTATTATTCTACCCACCCTAATGTGTATCATACTGCTATATGTTTACTGTACAATTACGACACCATACATTACTCTGCACACTGCACCATGCCAGTGAGTGGAACGCGGTCTGAAAGTCACCGTTCACGTGAACACAATCAGTTAAGATCCGAAATGGTTTATTACGTCCTTCCAATGATTGCTAAGCCAGAATCCATCTTCTCGGTTGAAATTGTCTCTGTGTTTGTATATGTGGATCGCCTCATGAACGAATCTCTCATGATAGCCAGATGGCTTGCAGAGAACCTCTGTCTTGGAGAAGTCAATGTCATGTGAGCCCACTGAATTGTAACAGTGATCTGCCACGGCTGAGGTGTTTGTCCTACCGTGTTTCAGGTCTGCCTTATGTTCACGGATGCGGTCCGAGACATGTCGTTTGGTTTCTCCAATGTAACTGCTACCACAGAGGCAACTTAGTTTGTAGACGCCAGGGTACTGTATGTCTGGAACCACATCTTTTACAGACGGGACCAGATCACGGATTTTATGTACTGTGTTGAATCGGACCTGGATCTTGTGTTTAATCAGGATTTTGGAGATCTTTTTTGTGACCCCAGCAATGTAGGGTAAGGTGATGGTCTTGAAAGGCTCCTCAACAGGATCCTTCTTGATGGTTGGAGTGATGGCTTTGCGGATTGTGTAGTCGGAGTAACCATTAGCCTTAAGAGCTTGGCGTACGTGTTTGAGTTCACTGGAAATGTGTTCATGGTCGGAGATGCATTGGGCTCTATGATATAGAGTCTTGATGAGGGAATTCTTCTGGGATGGATGGTGGTGGGAATCCGGTTTTAGATAAGCATCCGTGTGGGTGGCTTTCCTGTAGACAGAGTGGCTCATTGAACCATCAGGTCTCCTTTTGATTAGGACATCCAAAAAGGGTAGCTTGCCATCATTTTCGACTTCCATGGTGAATCTGATGGCTGGGTGTATGGAATTGATGTGGTCGAGAAATTGGTCTAGAGCAGGTCGGCCATGTGGCCAGATGACAAAAGTGTCGTCTACGTACCTCTTCCATAAGGTCGGGCGTAGAGTGGCAGTCTGGATGGCGTCCGTCTCAAATTTCTCCATGAAGATGTTGGCGGACGCCATCCAGACTGCCACTCTACGCCCGACCTTATGGAAGAGGTACGTAGACGACACTTTTGTCATCTGGCCACATGGCCGACCTGCTCTAGACCAATTTCTCGACCACATCAATTCCATACACCCAGCCATCAGATTCACCATGGAAGTCGAAAATGATGGCAAGCTACCCTTTTTGGATGTCCTAATCAAAAGGAGACCTGATGGTTCAATGAGCCACTCTGTCTACAGGAAAGCCACCCACACGGATGCTTATCTAAAACCGGATTCCCACCACCATCCATCCCAGAAGAATTCCCTCATCAAGACTCTATATCATAGAGCCCAATGCATCTCCGACCATGAACACATTTCCAGTGAACTCAAACACGTACGCCAAGCTCTTAAGGCTAATGGTTACTCCGACTACACAATCCGCAAAGCCATCACTCCAACCATCAAGAAGGATCCTGTTGAGGAGCCTTTCAAGACCATCACCTTACCCTACATTGCTGGGGTCACAAAAAAGATCTCCAAAATCCTGATTAAACACAAGATCCAGGTCCGATTCAACACAGTACATAAAATCCGTGATCTGGTCCCGTCTGTAAAAGATGTGGTTCCAGACATACAGTACCCTGGCGTCTACAAACTAAGTTGCCTCTGTGGTAGCAGTTACATTGGAGAAACCAAACGACATGTCTCGGACCGCATCCGTGAACATAAGGCAGACCTGAAACACGGTAGGACAAACACCTCAGCCGTGGCAGATCACTGTTACAATTCAGTGGGCTCACATGACATTGACTTCTCCAAGACAGAGGTTCTCTGCAAGCCATCTGGCTATCATGAGAGATTCGTTCATGAGGCGATCCACATATACAAACACAGAGACAATTTCAACCGAGAAGATGGATTCTGGCTTAGCAATCATTGGAAGGACGTAATAAACCATTTCGGATCTTAACTGATTGTGTTCACGTTAACGGTGACTTTCAGACCGCGTTCCACTCACTGGCATGGTGCAGTGTGCAGAGTAATGTATGGTGTCGTAATTGTACAGTAAACATATAGCAGTATGATACACATTAGGGTGGGTAGAATAATACATAGTGTTATATTAAAATGGATAAGGCAGCAACTGCAGCAGCAGCAGCAAGTGCAGCAGCAGCAGCAAGTGCAGCAGCAGCAGCAAGTGCAGCAGCAGCAGCAACTGCAGCAGCAACTGCAGCAGCAGCAGAAACTGCAGCAGCAGCAACTGCTGCAGCAGCAGTAACTGCAGCTCCCTTTGATGCTGTTAATCCTGCATAATGCACATGCATATGCAGTACTAATTACATTCCTGCATTTCCCATAAATATGCTAAATTCCTGTTGATATGCAAATTCCTTTGTCAATGCGCCCAGCTTATATATATGCTCTAAGCCCGTGTGCTGTTTCATTCAGACTCTGTCGCCTCGACGGACCTGGTTTTCACCTGAGGACGGCTGCTTGCGTTGTGGCCGAAACGTCGTGAGAATTGTTTTATTATGTTTTATTTTTATTATTTTATTACTTCCCTTCTACGTGACTTTACCGAAAGAACCAAGAAGATGAATCCCTGCAGTCACGAAAGCTTTAAATCGAAATGTATTGGGTGCTTTCTTAAAACGCTCCAGCATCTCAAAGCACCTTAAGCGTCTCTCAAATTGGAATACCCCTTGTCTAGTAATCATCATCCTCCACTGGCAGACTGATAGATGCGTGCAGGCCAGGTGCTGGGTCATCTTGTGCCCCACAGGGACAGTTGTGACTGGGGGTGCCCAGTGAAATGTTTGAGATATGGTGTGATGTCTCTGATCACGTGTAAAGTCCTCCAATATATTCCGGCATTAAGGATGCCGTATTAAAACACATCATTATCACATCTCATCTCAATAATTCTAATGCCAAGATTTTTTTTTTCGCCCAGAAAGCTCCTGCAGGAAGTTGCAATTCACGTGTCAGTAGGGGGTGATGTTACCTTTCCCATTAAGTAATTTGAAAAAAAAAATCTTACTTTGGATCATAGCGCCAGCATACATAGCTTACTATATATTTTGTTGTAACGTCATAGGATCTTTAATGTTCCCTATGATGCAGACAGCACGCATTTATTGTAAATACACACAATATTACTCAGGGTTGATTTTCGTGACCTGGGTAGCTCTTGCAAATGAGACTATCCTGGTCTCTTGAGTTCTTCCTTAATGAAACAAATAAACTTCACTTTTTTTAATCAGTTAACAGAAACACAGGTCGTAAAATACTATTAATTTTATTTACATTTGTACAAAACTCAAGATTTAAAGAACACAAATTCCCCATGAAAAAAAGGCCATCACAGGACGACACTGCTGTAGTTGTTGCCACATCAGCGTGACTTGAGCGGCTGTCCATACACAGGCTCCAGCACATGGAACACTATGGCCAAGGCTATGGCCACCAGCAGTGCCAGCAGGGAGAATGTCAGCAGCACGTAGCGCCCGATGAAGAACTCGTCTGTAATCTGCAACATACACACACACACGTACAATGGACAACAACAAAACCCATATTTCCCTTTCGCAGTCCCTACTCAACCATGACAGTCTTTAAAGAGCCCAGTCCAAGAACTGACAAGAATACAGAGCAGAGGTCGCAACCGGGTACCCGATACCCGTACCCTACCCGATACCCGGCTACCCGTACCCGGCCGGGTACGGGTACAGGTACCTGTTTGCGACCCTGGTGCGGCCGGGTACGGGTACGGGTAGACCGTGAGTCACTGGTGAGTAACTGTTTGTCACTCATTTCCCAACGTCTTGTCTCTTCTCACAATTCAAGTTCCTAGAATCAACCCACCCGCGCCTGCAACATGGCTTCATCCCAGAGGTCGCAATCGGGTACCCGATACCCGTACCCTACCTGTACCCGGCCTGGTATGGGTAGGGTACGGGTACGGCCGGGTACGGGTACCCGTTTTCGACCCTGGTGCGGCTGGGTACGGGTAAGAAATCAAAACCCGTTTGCGACCTCTGTTTCGCAGTCCCCTCTCAACCGTGACAGATTCTTTAAAGAGCCCAGCCCAAGAACTGACAAGAATACAGAGGCAGCTCTAAATATATCAAAAGAGGGGGGGGAGGGCATTATACATTATAATAATATTGCACTGCACGGGAGATCATGTTAAGTCATACTTTACTTTTAATAAATTACTTCGCAGTTTGCAGGTGTGTGCAGTAGTCGAATGATAACTGACCACAGGCTCTTTCACGACAGGCACGGAGGGCGTCTGCTTGGGAAAGAAGACCAGGACGAGGGTGATGATGACGACCAAGAGAAAAACACCCACCGATACGAACCTAAATGCGTTGGATGACACAATGTAATTTTAACTCGATAAGATAACGTCTTCATCTTTGTTAAAATAATTATTTAATAAAGCCAATACATTGTATAATTGCACAAGCGCAAATGTAATCGAAATTTATTTGTAAAATTTTTTTTCTTCCTTTAATTCATTGATTAAAGTAGATTCTTACACTCACACCGACAAGCAAATCTAATGTATTGAAATCTGTACCCAGGTATGAAATGCCATGCAATGAGAGAGATACAAGAGTTAATAAGGAACGAAAAAATCTGCAGTCTCAACCTCAATGGCCGTGAAGCACGGGACATCAGCACACACAGCAGCAGGGACAGCACCCACAGAAACACCAGCACAAAGAGGCCCACTCCAATGCCCAGAACCCGCGGGCTGTCCATCACTCTGGTCCTACACCACCTTTTGGACGCAAAACACATTAACCATACAAAACACACGAGTGATGAGTTTCCGATTTAAACATTTGGTAATTCTGGATTCAGACGTACAAAACCATATAATTCTCAAGACATTTTTCAAGACAGTCCAGCATTAACATGTGTGGCCAATTAATGTTTAAAGTGTGGTGCTTTTCGGAATAAATCGGAAGTATTGTACTAGAAAACTCAAACGTAAAATGGGATGACACAAAAAAAAGCCAAGGATCGTTATCATTTATAGCAATGTGACAGCCCCCTTTGAGAGTAACAATCTCTTGCCCCGACCATCACACAGCTCAGTGGGTTCGGAAGTTCCATAGCGTAAGATGATCTCAGTGTGTCTGTATTCCCGGAGCACATCACGGCAAAACAGATACGAAGTGGTTTCTCATTCGAGGTGGTGCCCATGTCCTGAGCCTGTGGTGGGCAATCCACACTCCGATGGTGGCGGCCAGTACGTCCAAATGATATACATAATGAAAGTCTATTTCATATAACCGTAAACTCTTCTTGGTTCGTTCGGTAAAGTCACGTAGAAGGGAAGTAATAAAATAATAAAAATAAAACATAATAAAATAATTCTCACGACGTTTCGGCCAGGTCTGTCGGGGAGACAGCGTCTGAATGGACGCTGTCTCCCCGACAGACCTGGTCTTCACCTGAGGACGGCTGCTTGCGTTGTGGCCGAAACGTTGTGAGAATTATTTTATTATGTTTTATTTTTATTATTTTCTTACTTCCCTTCTACGTGATTTTACCGAAAGAACCAAGAAGATGAATCCCTGCAGTCACGAAAGCTTTAAATCGAAATTTAACCGTAAACTCATTAAGTACATTAACAAAAACTTTTAAATTATTCTGCAATTAACATTTCCGTTTTCAAGTGAAGTCAGTTGACAGTCTCAGCCCATTCACCACTGACTGCACAAAAAAGCATCACATTAAATTCGTTTCTGCAATTAATTTGGCTAAATTCCAGCTGAGAATAAAAAAAATATTGTAATTGTTTTTTTACCCTTTTATCTGGCAACAAAACTGACACCTTTCTTTTACAAGGAGTCATGTTTGCACAGACCACAATACCTGAAGTCATAATGCAAACAAAAAACACAACTCTGATAATGTATGCACTGTCCTTGAAGTTGATTGGTCCACACCCGAGACAGCTTTCCTTAGAGCCTAGTTTCACATGGTGTTGGACCAGATGACGCCAAAAGGCGCACAACTCAAAGACAATGCACCATCAGAGTATGAGAGCTCGGGGTAAGCATTTACACCATTGGAACCTCATTTGCCAGTAAAAATATAATATTGGTTCGATAGTAGTTAGACAAACATGACTCTGTAGCAAGGCGGTTGATAAAGTGCTACCCCCTCCTCCTGTCTTGACCAGAGGTCACTTGAAGGCCTCGACACAGAGGCGTGATTTCTCTTTGTGCGTAAGTTTTGTTCTCTCTCTATATATCTCTGTGATATATGTCTGCTTATATGTCTGTCTATGTCTCTGGTTCTGTATTTGATCTCTCTCTCAAATTTAGCATTCTCAGGAAGAACGTAATCAACCAGATAGGGTGTTGACTGTTATGTTATCCGACTCTCTGTTGTATTACATTACATTTCTAAGTATACTAGATTTTTTTATTATGTTTTATTTTTATTATTTTATTACTTCCCTTCTACGTGACTTTACCGAAAAAACCAAGAAGATGAATCCCTGCAGTCACGAAAGCTTTAAATCGAAATTTAAATCGAAATATACTAGATTTGTGTTTCTATTTAATTTATACCTGATGATGATTGCTTTATGTTGCAATCGAAACGTCGTATGCTAGTATTTAATTTTATTTATTATTTTATCTTGATACATGACTTTACCGAAAGAACCAAAGAATAATTCCTGCAGTCACGAAAGCTCCAAAATTAAGTTTTTATCTCAGAAATAGCTCTGAGATCACCTTCCGTGGACCGTTCTGTAACACACGGGGTGGTGCGCTGCTCACTGCGACTTCCGAATTATTTGACTGGAGCCGATAACACAATCGGGAAGTGGTGGCTATCCACGCGGCCTGTGATCTAGCACTGTGGATGCAGAAGCGAGGGTTTGTGAATCACCACACCAATCTTCTTGGTTCTTTCGGTAAAGTCACGTAGACGGGAAGTAATAAAATAATAAAAATAAAACATAATTCTCACGACGTTTCGGCCACAACGCAAGCAGCCGTCCTCAGGTGAAGACCAGGTCTGTCGGGGAGACAGCGTCTAAATGAAACACCACCACGCTTGGAGCGTCTATTTAAGCTGGGTTGGAAGGGGAAGAGCGCCTTGACAAAAGAATTTGCAGATCAAGAGGAATTTAGCATATTTATGGGAAATGCAGGAATGTGATTAGTACTACTTGTGAAATGCCACACCAATGTTGTAAAACTCCATTCTCATGGGCAGCGTGAGGGTGCCATAACACCCTGGGGCTCGCCAGGAGCAGGCAGTGCAGCAAGAGGACTAATCGCCACCTGTTTCCATTTGTACAGGGATAGGGGGTTGCCCCCTCGCACGTGATGCGGTTTCCTCTCACTTGTATGTTAAGAAAAAACATGTATAATGGAAAATACAAATATTTATTACCGTTTATGTGATGAATTAGTTTGAGGTGTAGGGTAATTTAGGGGCAGTCCATAAATGACGTCACGCACATGGGGGGGGGGGGGGTCAGACAATTTGTGACGATGTGTGACGATGAGAAATGTGACGTCACATCAAAATGCGCAACTTTAAATTAATATAGACAACACGTTCTACTTAATTAAATAGACTTTATAATAAATGTTTTAATTTTTAATGAAAGCTTTCGTGACTTTTTTCAAAATTTCTTGCTGTGGATTTCACACCTGATGATGATTGCTTGTGTTGCAGTCGAAACGTCGCGAGAATTTTTATTGTTTTATATTTATATTATTTTATTATTTCCCTTCTACGTGACTTTACCGAAAGAACCAAGATAAATAATACATAGTATTTAATTTAATGTATTATTTTATCTTTATACGTGACTTTACCGAAAGAACCAAAGAATAATTCCTGCAGTCACGAAAGCTCCAAATTAAGTTAATAAATAATACATGTTTTCTGCTACAACATCAGAGTGCAGCGCCACATTAAATACGCACTACAATGACAATAGTTGAAAGCCATTTGAAGCATTTTTAAATCCTTTATATTAAGTTCGCTTGCTTGCGTGCTTGCTTGCTTACGACCGTGCAAACCTTTCTGTCGTTTTTTAACCCACTTCCCGTGATCCAATCGAGCTGACATTTTGCACACAGACTCGTTGTGCGAGACAATTAATGTTCGTGAAAATATTTTTCCAAAATTTTACACTGTTTAGGGAAAACAAATTAAATATTTAATTACCAATTGTTTAATACTGCAGACAATCATCTGACCCATAGGTGGCAGCCATCTCAAGCCAGAGGACGAGAGGACTCTAGCCGCCACGCATATAAAGGATTTATAGTGAAAAACTGTTTTTACGGGTTATACTTATTTATTTTCAAAATGGAAATATGGTTTTGGGGGGTGGGGGGGTGAGCTTTGTGACGTCATATTTGAGGGGGGGGGGGGTGACGAGCTGTGTTTGCTCGCACGGAATCAATGCTGCTCAAGTTGTTAACCTGCCGGGAGTGAATCTGTGGTGTAAGAACTACTTGTAATATTACACACGCGTATACATTAACAGATGCTGTATATATATTACGTGCAAAGGCATCATTTGGGTCATCTCTAATCCGTTACATACACACGACTCAACACAGGCGGGATTTGTACAATACAGTTTCAACCGTCGGGCACATTATAAGCATTATAACACTTACCTTTTAATACCAAATAAATGAGGATTGTGGGTTATTTTATTACAGTTTTACGACGCTTTAAAGGGTTTTCTTCACCACTGCGCTACCCACAGCAGCTTCGCATTTCCTACAACGGATAGGGGACTATCGCTCTACGTCTGGCGCCTCCCATTGGCTCGCGTCGGGCCCGCCCCCTGAGCTCTCGACCAATCACGAGCGCCGAACCGCCCTTATCAAACTTACGGAATGTGAAGCGTCGTTGGGTTGCCTCGGTAACGAGTAACGTCGCTTGCTATTGGTCCGATTGCCTCGGGTGCTCGGAACCAATCGGATGTCGCGCACGAGCGAGCGACCACGTGGTCGTCGGTAAACGCACGTGGCCGCCAGATGGCAATGGCTCAACGCTCATTTAGCTTTGCCTCGCTCAGATATAAATCACAATTTTTTTATACACTGGAGGAATCCGATAAGCTATAAAGCTCTTTTTTACGGATGTCCAGTAGGGGCGGGTCAGAACGTTACAACAACAAACAATACAAAAAAACACTATAGGAGTGAAAAGTATAGAAAAGGTAAACAAATGACTTAAAAACATACAAATACTGTAAAACTAAACTATTTTGTGCGATCTTACCAGGTAAAGCCCACTGAGCTATTAGCTTGTTTTTTCAGAAGAGACCTGGTCACAATTTTTTACTAAAGAAAGGGGCTTATCTTTTGGAAATGTATAGCAGCAAAATAATCGAAATAATCTAAATTCATGTTTCTAAATGTGGAGGGTAAAACCGGAGGACCCTGAGAAAAAAAATCCGCGCGACCACGGGGCGAGAGGACACGCAAACTCCAAATATACTACAGGCGGGGTAGAACCACCGCCCTTAGATAGAGACGCGAAGTCCCGCAATCACGTTGGCGAAAGGACACTGGCATTTCGCTCCTGAACGTAAGGATATAATGTATAGCCTCCTCTACATTTCGATTTAAAGCTTTCGTGACTGCAGGGATTCATCTTCTTGGTTCTTTCGTTAAAGTCACGTAGAATGGAAAAAAAAAACATAATAAAATAATTCTCACGACGTTTCGCCCACAACGCAGTCAGAATGCCTCTCCACCTGAGGACGGCTGCTTGCGTTGTGGCCGAAACGTCGTGAGAATTATTTTATTATGTTAGATTTTTTATTATTTTATTATTTCCATTTTACGCGACTTTACCGAAAGAACCAAGCTCATTCAGAGCGTATGTCGACTTTGTAGACGTGAGGAGCAAGGCCATAATTATTATAAAAAAAAATATTGGGGACGACGACGACACATCCCCCCCCCCTCCAATATTCAAATATTCTCAAAATGTCCCCCCAATATATTGATATTAAAAAATATATAAATACATTTTTTGCTATGCTACGACAGGCAACCACGCACCGCCGTCCGAAATAATCATTAGCAAATGTAATCATAATCAGAACTAAACTTAACAAATTGCCAATATTATTACTACCGATTATAGTATTACGGTGTAACTGTAGTTCTGCTTGTGGTTTGTCCAATGTGTTGCCGTGCCCCTGCAGAAGCCGTTGTTCGACTGCTGTGGGTAGGTACAATCAATGTCAAACACTGTCCAGTCTCTCCATTTCATTACTTTCAAATTTATTTTTAAAAAAGTGGAAAACTAGAATGTAATGTGAGTGTTATGCCGGATATATCACTATCGAGTGGAAACAAACGTTTTTGACGAAAACGTGCCGATTTGCGATTGCTAATCAATCAACCATCGCGAACGTTAGCTATCATAGCTAAGTACTGTAAGTTACTTGGTCTGACTTTTTGTGACGCCGTGTGACGAGGGGGGGGGGGGTCAAAAATCGTCCAAAATCGCGTGACGTCATTTATGGACGGCCCCTTACGCTATCAAACGCAATCAGATGCCACCGTGATGTTCGAACAATGAATTTACTTCTGTATGAATCATGTTCATTCATTATATTAATAATTTTTTTTCATCTCCCCGATTGCTTTCAAAAGTCACCGAGAGATCGGTGAAAACTTCCGACCAATCCGGGAAGGTTGGCAACCCCCAGGTGACGGTGTTTTCACGTTCATGTGGCGGGCGCACGCTCGTTCGCCTGAGTCATAAAGGTCGCGTTAGAGCACTGAGGGGGCACTGCTGATTGCCTGGTGTCCGAATTCAGACTCTTAGGTTTTTTCGGTAAAGTCACGTAGGTAAAAATAAATAATAAAAATTACAGAAATTTTATAATAAATCACGACGTTTCGGAGGCAACACAAGTCTCCGTCATCAGGTGGGACCGTCACAGCTGAATTTACTGTATCAAGTGAGGAAAAAATCCAAGAGACAAGCCCTTAAATACAAGTCAAGGGGAGGAGGGGGGGGGGCTTGTCTGAATGTGGTAGCCAGGGGTATGACCTGATGGTCCTGGGCAGCGGGGCTAAAAGAGAACAATGGTGCACATCGGCTCATGGTTGTCGCCGGTGTTAGCTGATAATAAGAAATAAAAGTAAGCAATACTGGTAATCGCTGGGGATGTCAACACTCGGTCCGAATTCAGGTTTCAGCCCAGTGGTTCAATCCTTCTCAAGTGTAACGAGTTCGTTGACAGTCTTAGACCGACCACAAATGACAGTCCAAAACCTCCATTATAGATTGTACTCATACATTTCATATTAAATAGACTTGCTCCGGCTTTGAAAGCTTAACAATTCAGCTTGTGATTCAACAAACTCTTGGCAGGCAATATAAAAAGGGTTTTTTATTTTATTTTATCTCGCGTGAAAAGGAGCCTAATGAAAGGATTTCACAAATGCTACGGATCTGGCATGTCATATGCAGGGTCCATTCTTATACAGATGGAAATGGCTTTGCTGCCAAGTCCGAGTTGGAACTCTTTTTCTCGTGACATAACAGTGGTAGAACAAAATTAAAATATATGGGGGAGGGGGGGGGGAATAAAACATATATGATCGCATATATAATATTAAAAAAAAATTCAAACTCATTGCGTCTGAAATGCGTTTGAAAAAAAAAATCAATGTGCGTGCAGTCAATGATGCACGCACCTGCTTTGAGAGTGGTATTTGAAAGGAGGTACACATTTATTTAAATCTGCCATTGATTTTCCAAACCGTCTTTGCTCGACCTAAAAAAACGCATTCAATGGGTAGAAAATAAAATGCTCATGTAACTCATTTTCAACTGTCACGCAGTACAGATGCGTCTAATGCAGTGACGTCCGCTCGTCTACGGGTTAATGAGGCATGCAAAGATGAATTCGTGCATACGCTCCGGCTTCTGAAGGTTCACAATTCGATGGTGTGGTGGTAAAACAAAAAGGAAAAGTAGCCAAACAGGGACATATTTGAACCCCCAAACGAGAATGAAAAGTAAAACGTCCGTTTATCCTCGGCTGCACGACCGATCCGACGAAACGCGAGGACAACTTAATCAGGGATAACTGTCGGAATTCATAATGTGAACATTTAACTTCGTAATCGAACGTGTCTTCGTGCAAAACTGAAGGGACGCCGCCTCGATGCCACGTGACACCTCTTCTGGTGTCGCTTCACGAAGTCTCATGGCATAACATGCGGCATCATTTTGAGTGATGTCATACTTGCGGATTAATTCGTAAATGTCGTTATCTCGACCTTTGAAACATGTCATTGTCGGATTAATCCCAAAATGCGACGTGGGCTTATTCCGAAAATCCCATTTTTTAAAAATCCTTTATATTAAGTTCACTTGCTTGCTTGCGCGCTTACGACCGTGCAAATCTTTCGGTCGTTTTTTAACCCACTCCCCGTGGTCCAATCGAGCTGACATTTTGCACACAGACTCGTTGTGCGTGACAATTTATTTTCGTGAAAATCTTTTTCCATAACTTTACACTTTTTAGGAATTTTTTATTTATTTAATTACCAATTGCTTAATGGTGGCAGGCAATCATCTGACCCATAGGTGGCAGCCATCTCAAGCCAGAGGACGAGAGGACTCTAGCCGCCACGCATATAAAGGATTTATAGTGAAAAACTTTGTTTTCACGGGTTAATTTTGTTCTGCCTAATCAACCAATTCCAGAACAAGGCTCTCCTTCGGTACGAGGTTGTCAGGAGAAGGCAACATCAGCTGTACTGTACTTCTATGCCTCCCTGCCCCTTTGATAAACTCACCGCCTTCAGCAACCTGCACTGCCCAGTGTGGCGAAGTATGGTCAAATAACACCCCCAATACCCGCGCAGTGTGGAGCGTCCTCCATCCCGCAGGCGAGAAAGATAAAAGGGCAGTGCGTGGATGCGATGATTCTAGATGAAGGGATGTCACAACGTATTTCAATTAAAAAACACACACACATACACGGGTGTTTGATGTTTATTACTGCGAATGTTTTCCGAATCGCGTAAGAGATCGCCATTGCTTCTAAGTCTTACGGCGTGAGTAATTATAACGTGATGCGGGTTCTTTTGTTGCGTCCACTGATCGCAGTATTCGTCGGTATCAAAGACGCTCCGGGAAGTAAGACTTCATCCCGAAACGTCTGACCCGGGGGTCGACAGATCTGATGTCGTGCACACAATCAGGATCCGTTGAGCTGCGAAGTTATTTTTCACAGATGTCCAGCAGGAGAGGGTCACGCACACAGTTCCCGAATTATACGACGGTACCCCCTTGCATTTACTCCAATATGCAAGTCCGTCACTTTCAAACGTGCGGATAATGCACTTTTACGTAATTGTATTTCAATATTATTATTTTAAATTATATATGACCGTACAGAAGGAAGCCCCTGTAGCATCCCTGTAGCAATTGCTGAAGACTCAGCACGGATTTCTAAATTCTTAGTCGAGTTGTGACGATGGTGGTGGTACATTGATGCCAAATCTCATGAGAAAATCGCCATTGCTGTTGATGATGGTGGTAATGCCGGGCGGTTGTGGTGGTGGTGGCTACTCTGCTGCACGTGGCCGCTGCCTTTGATCCTGCACTGTGGAGGCAGACAGCGAGAGTCGGTGGATCATCGCGCAGATTGGCTGTGAAACTCCCCTGGCCGTGAGCGCCGCGGAGGTGGACTAATCGTAATCTGTTTCCATCTGTACGGGGATAGAGTTGACAGTTATGATGGTAATATTGATGGGTGATGGTGGTGACAATATTAGTGACCA